TGCTCGTTGGCCGCTGTGAACGCCACCCTTCGTTGGGGTCTCGTTGCGCGTAGGGGGGGGGGGAGGGGGGTGGTACGGCAAACGAAATCGTTAACGGGAGACGCCGTTCGTCCGTGTTGACGGTCAAATGACGTTCATATTGTGTCTTATTAATAGCACTGGTAAACACACTTTTCTGGCATAAGGTATTCCAACGGTTTTAAGGTAATTTTGGGGTGCTGATTCCAAATATGGCATCAGTTTTTGAGATATCAAATATTGCATTTTCAATAAAAACTGCAGAAGAAAAATATTAAATAAATGTGGATATCTACATAAAATTATATTATAAACACACTATCCTAAAAATACATCACCAAATTTTAACACTAAAACAGTCACTGACTCGCAACAACTTGCAATCATAAGTGACAGAGTTAATTTCGGGTAAAATCAATGAAAATGGGGTATGCCGATAGCATAAAATGAGATGTGATAGAGCAAATCTGAGATCAGATTTGGAATCAGCACCCTGAAATTAGTCTAAAACAGCTGCAAAAGTCCAGGCCAGAAAAAATGTTTTTTTTTTGTTGACCAGTGTAGTCGTTTGGGTCGTTGTTTAGTGCTCGTGTTGGTGGTGGTGGGTCTTGGCCAGTTTTTCTGAATGTTCACCAGATTATTTGAGTGGCCTGCTCGGCCGACTACCACCCGCACTTATTTTTGTTCTCAAATGAGGGGGGGGTGGCCCTTGGGAGCTATGTGGGTGCACTTCAAAATCTATGTTTGCGTGTGGCAAATTCGTTCACTATGTTTATTTTCACTATGCTCATTAACTGTTAAATGTGTTCACGGGCAACACATTTCAAAGTCGAGGTCTGCCGGCCACAACGACAGGGCTTCATGAGAGAGAGAGTTCGTGTACAGCAGAACAGGGTGGTCCAGATGTCTTGTGACCCCCACTCCCTCCCCAAATAATTGACCCCTAACATTTGTTACCCGTTGCATATTTAATTGCTGTTTGAAAGAGCCCTTTAAAACAAGTATATTGCGTTTTAGAAAATTAAATGGGGGGGGGGGGTCACAAGACATCTGGAACCACCCTGCTCTGCTATTCCACCTGCCTGCACTGCTCACTCGCCCATCTCTCTCTGGTTTTTTGTTTTTTTTGTTTTCTCTCTCTGCCTGTGTCCTCTCTTTGGAATTTTCACACTTAAATTCTAACTTAGCAATCTTTGAAATACGTAATCAACCAGGCTATGCGTTAATTGTGTGTTGAGCGACTCTCTGTGTTGCATTACATTACATTTCGATATTTTACTAGGTTATTTAATTTTAGTGTGTCTTTCTCCTAATTTTCAAGCTTGCGTACCGTACCACGTCGTCGTCCACTCATTGACATACTAATTTTTTCTCTGCCCCCCCCCCCTCTCTCCGCCCCCGCCCCCTCTCTATATTTAAGGCCTCGTCACAGAGACGACCTCTCTCTTTGTGCCGATACGTGTTCTCTCTCTGTGTATCTTTGTGATGTCTGTCTGCTTATATGTCTGTCTACAGTTTTCTGGTTAGATTTGTGTTGCTATTTATTTTATACCTGATGATGATTGCTTGTGTTGCAATCGAAACGTCGTAGTACGCTATTATTTAATTTATTATTTTATCTTCATACGTGATTTTACCGAAAGAACCAAAGAATAAAAGCTTTAGAGCTCATCGGATTCATAAAGCAATATGTTGCACATCGCTGCGCAGCCGTGCGGGTCACAACACCAGCAACAGCGCCGCCTCGTGGTGAGAGCGCGCAAGTGCACGGCGCGCCCCCACGCAACCGCAGTAACCCGTGGCCACTGGCGCATTGACGCCGGTCGCGGGGTGGGTGAGGGAGGGGGATGTCTGAAGCACATTTCCGCAACTTGCAACGTCCGTCCTCTTCCCATCACATTTTAATAAAAAACAACAAAATCCCTGTTTCGGTAGCGGGCAGAGAGGCGAGAGACGACGAGACGGCGTGACACCCTAGGAAAGGGGGGGGGGAGCGGTTCGGAAAATGATCAAAAAGTAATGTCTACCAGGAGTGGGGTTCGAACCCACGAAGACATACGTCCATTGGATCTTAAGTCCAACGCCTTAACCACTCGGCCATCCTGGTATACAGTGCTCGCTCCCGTACGATGGGATAAATAAGGTGGGCGGACCGCTCTTCTTGGTTGTTCACTCAGCACATGATGACAACAATAACAACAACAATAACAACAATAATAACAACAACAGCGTGATGGGTGTTGTTGTTGCGCGTGCGCACATGGCGACCCAAATCACCCACCCACCCCCCCGACCTAAGTTCGATTCCCGCTCACGGTCAACATCGGTGACGATTAACCGAACCGCTCCTAGGTCGACTCAGCCGCGAACGAGGAAGAGAATATTTGGTGCGATCGTCGCCACTGGGGATACAAAGGCGGCTGTGCGTGGTGCTGGCCGCCACCTCGTGTGCTAACAGCACTTGCCGCAAAAGTCTCTTATCTATCTTCATCCCGTAGCACATGGTCAATCCACTGCTGGATGATGGCCTCTCCAAGATGTGTATGGGTCACGGATGTTAACTACCTCGCCTGGTCTACAGGAGGTCGTGGCATGGGTTCAATCCCTGACCCTGACACCTAATGCATATTTGGGATTTGCGTGTCTCTCATCATCATCATCACGGTGGCTAGGAGATGTTAACTACCTCGCCTGGTCTACAGGAGGTCGTGGCATGAGTTCGAACCCTGACACCTAATGTATATTTGGGATTTGCGTGTCATCATCTCACGGTGGCTAGGAAATGTTAACTACCTCGCCTGGTCTACAGGAGTTCGTGGGTTCGATCCCTGACCCTGACGCCTGCTGCTGTATATTTGGGGTTTGCGTGTCTCTCTCATCATCATCACGGTGGCTAGGAGATGTTAACTACCTCGCCTGGTGTACAGGAGGTCGTGGGTTCGATCCCTGACACCTGCTGTATATCTTCTTGGTTCTTTCGGTAAAGTCACGTAGAAGGGAAGTAATAAAATAATAAAAATAAAACATAATAAAATATTTTATTATGTTTTATTTTTATTATTTTATTAGATGAATCCCTGCAGTCACGAAAGCTTTAAATCGAAATTTAAAGCGCTATGTATACAGCTCAGCAGGTTCTTACCTGGTACAATTAATAAGTATAACCCGTAAAAACAAAGTTTTTCACTCTAAATCCTTTATATGCGTGGCGGCTAGAGTCCTCTCGTCCTCTGGCTTGAGATGGCTGCCACCTATGGGTCAGATGATTGTCTGCAGTATTAAACAATTGGTAATTAAATATTTAATTTGTTTTCCCTAAACAGTGTAAAATTTTGGGGAAAAAAATTCACGAACATTAATTGTCTCGCACAACGAGTCTGTGTGCAAAATGTCAGCTCGATTGGATCACGGGAAGTGGGTTAAAAAACGACCGAAAGGTTTGCACGGTCGTAAGCAAGCAAGCGAACTTAATATAAAGGATTTAAAAAACATTGTTTAGTTTATACTTGACGATTGTAAGAAGGCTAAAGCTGTCGCTACCTTTCACGATATATCCTGCGATATTCAAGGACTCGCGTCCTTTGATTTAATCGCTCCGTCTCCTTCCTCGGCAGCCGAAGAAACGAACGTAGGTTGGACGTTTGATATTCGTTTGATGTTCTCAACTAAAGCACTTTAGCCACACCATTACAACTTGACTAGGATGTGAAAGGGGTGGTGAAAATGTGTGGTTGCTGTACCACTTACTTCGCTGTGAATCCCAAAACAATCATATAACGCGAACGATTTTAATCCCATTAAATATCCTTTAAGACTAATGGCAAAAACCAAAGCAGCTTTGCTACAACATTCCAACTGCAATATGAAGGCATCCATAATATAGTTTGTTTGGGTTATATCGCGTAATTATATATATATTGTGTCGTTAAACCCGCCACCACCCGACAGACAGAAAGTGCCAATTCGTTACTAGAACAGCACTAACCGGTTGTGTGTTGGAGAGCCAAGCCACAACATTTACATTCAGAGTACGTTTACGCAATCTAACCCCAAAAAACTTGTATTATGGATATTGGTCGCGAAAGCCTCCGTGTTAAACTGATATGAAGACAATTATGACTGAACAAAAATGTGTGTAAAGCCTGTACATTACTATAGTCCGTACATCTGTTGTTTGTCTTACCTGTTATAACCATTACACAGTCCAAAAAAATATCTGCGATGCACGTTTGCTTATTAACATTTCCCAGATTTATCTTCTTGGTTCTTTCGGTAAAGTCACGTAGAATGGAAATAATAAAATAATAAAAATAAAACATAATAAAATAATTCTCACGACGTTTCGGCCACAACGCAAGCAGCCGTCCCCAGGTGGAGAAGACAGTCATTCAGACTCTTGTCATGCAGACTCTTGTCATTCAGACTGTCTTCTCGACAGACCTGTTCTCCACCTGAGGACGGCTGCTTGCGTTGTGACCGAAACGTCGTGATAATTATTTTATTATGTTTATTTTTATTATTTTATTATTTACATTCTACGTGACTTTACCGAAAGAACCAAGAAGATGAATCCCTGCAGTCACGAAAGCTTTAAATCGAAATTTCCCAGATTTTGCACACATTTTGGATAAAAAATAATTTAATGTCGCTGCCCCAAAGTGTTTGAACCACCGAAGTTTCGTTTCTTGGTATCCCCCCCCATAAAACCATTTTGGTCTTCATTTAACTGCCACTCAAAATCACTCAAGTTTAAGTATAATTTACCAACATAATTTTGTTTTGAATCTGTAAATGTGGAAATTGCCTTGATGTTGCCTGCCGGCCGAGTCGCCCTTGAAGAAATAATAATTAGCTAAATGGGTTTCTACTGGGCAAATAAACATCTTGATTCCTTAATTGCATTGGTGTATGGAGGTATACGGACTTCCCGCCCACCTCAATTAAAAAAGCCACGTGGTTTCTCCGTCACGTGGACTTGAGCAGTCAGCAATGGCAGCGCCCATCAGCCACGTGCACTTGTGAAGAATTGCAGTTCATTTAACTTTTTTACCCGATATCGCCAAAGAAAGGTGAGTGAATGGTGTGACTGTAGTTTTTCCTTGTTTTAACGGATAAGTAAACCGCGTGTTGTGTAACAATGTGTTAAATAAAGGTGCCATCTGATGCAGTGTTTCGGCCACGGTCACGGCAGATACACATATTGTATCTCTAAATAGCGTTGGACTGTGCACCCACACAGAATGATTAACTCGTATTCTTTTACTGTTTTATCGAATTGTCTATGCTCTCAGACTATGTATAGTTCACTTTCAGCAATGTATTGTCAATAAGTCTACGGTTAACTTTTAACGTCTTAGTTTGAACGCTGCATATAGGCCAGGCACCCAGACTTATCCGGTCGATACAGACCGATGATGGCATAGTCAGACTCGAATCTTTACGTATTTTTGGAGGAATCCGATGAGCTATGAAGCTCTGTTTTCGCATGTCCAGCAGGGACGGGTCTACAAGTCGCAACAACAATACGGGCATCGAAAGGAGTTCAAAGCAAAACAAAAGGTAAGCAAGTCACTACAAATCGGTACAAAATAAATAAAGCACGCAAGTTAAACATTGTGTAAGTATCTTCTTGGTTCTTTCGGTAAAGTCACGTAGAAGGGAAATAATAAAAATATAACATAATTCTCACGACGTTTCGGCCACGACGCAAGCACCCGTCCTCAGGTGAAGACCAGGTCTGTCGGGGAGACAGCGTCTGAATGAGAATTATTTTATGTTTTATTTGTTTAAATTTTATTATTTCCCTTCTACGTGACTTTACCGAAAGAACCAAGAAGATGAATCCCTGCAGTCACGAAAGCTTTAAATCGAAATTGTGTAAGTACTTAGCGGCCAGCCACCATTTCGCCAAACCGAAGTATGATCTAACAATCCCGGAGAGGGGGGGGGGGCATATAGTTAATTCTTGGGGGGACCAGTGTATTTAATACAGCGTTGTATTCTAAAGTCGCCCATCGGCACTGACCAGCGTGGTGAAGTATGGTCAAACAGACCTCCACGGAGTGGGGGGGAGGAGGAGGTCCTGTACACGTGTGGGACGCATCTCAGATGTGTCGTTTTATTTTTTTACACGCTTTGATTTCACTCACTCCGTCTGTTTTCGTATCCTCAAAAAATATTCTAACTCAATTTTTACCAACTTCCCAATGTGCTATCGACTGCAAACTTGGTATACTTGTGTCATACTGATGGCAATACTATATTCTATCATAGATTTTTTTTTTTTACATTTTACACGCTTTTTTTATTTAACACTGTCTGTTGTATTCTCAAATTTTGTAACTTAATTTCAACCGTCTTCCCAGTGTATCGACTGCAAACTTGGTATAGCTATGTCATACTGATGACAATACTATATTCTATCATTGAAAACTAAATTTGTATTTATTTTTAAGCAATATTTTTACGGCTTTTGGGTTGGATCGCGTTATTTATAAATGTGTCGAACCCCTCCACCACTCGACACGGCCAAACAGTAAAAAATGTGTCACGTTTACAAAGGACAAAATAATTCACTTTATCCCACCGGTTTGTTGAAGAGCGAATCAATGCAGGTGAACTGCCAAGGTGCTTGTAGCAACCCGTTCTGCAGGAAAATGGGTCTTTTCCACAAAACAAATGGATACCCAACGCAGAATAATCATGGAGTGGAAAATGTTAGTAATAAAATAGTAAAATGCCTCCATATATTTCTCTCTACCTTCAACAAAAATTATGCAAATACGTTTTTTACACAACCCATCCGTTGTCAAGTTCACTGCTGGCCCATGTTTCTGTCGATGCTGTACCATTTGTTAAACCTGTGTTTTTAATACATATTTTCTTGAAAATGTACCTTGACAGTAGCTTTAACATGTACTGTCAAAACGCTTAGATGCGGTCATTGCCAATATGAGATTATAGTGCACTGTTGAAAATGTATATGCAAGTAACTGAAGGTAAATTCTATTTGTATGTAAATAAGTATCGAACTCAGAATTGAAAGTGCAGTTTAGATGTCAAAGCTATAACGTTTTTGTTTATGCATACAAATGCTTTGGTCTAATTCCAGGAGATCATGGATCCTCTGCCACATTACTGTTACACCTACAACTTGAGGAATTTGATGTGCTCTCCTCTCCACGAGGCGCCGCAGGAAAGAAGCTCGAACCACGATCACGTCACAAGTTGCTTGAAACGTTCGCTCCATTACCCATCGGCTTCGACTAAGTACTCCCATCGACACTTGCCGCATAGGCCGCAGAGCGTTCGGGCCCTGTCAACGGAACCTGCGACGGCTGCGAGTTCAGCGGCCCCGGGCAGCGCATCGCAACCTGACAAAATGGTAGCCATGAACACGAGTACGTTAACTGATCTCATGAAATCGGTTATTAACAAGACGTTTGAGCTGAGCTGCTTGGCGGCGGAGGAGGGTAAACGGCCCGGATATGGTGTCTTTCAGGGGGTTCCAATGAACCCGCTAGCTTTGCAGACACACCCTTATCCACACCAGCATCCAATGGCTGGCTTTGTTGGGCAAATTCCTCCGCAGATGCAAAGCAACACTCCAACCCTATGGCAGCAGCCCCCGATGTATTACCCATGGCAGGGTTTGCCTCCCTGCGTTCCTGCGCAGAGCAGTACTTGGATGGCACCGGGTAACAGATTTCCACCGGGTTACTCCTCTTCAACATCCGCCTTCTCGCCCATATCGACATCATCACCGCACCTTCAAGATCATAGTGCTCAGCACCAACACCCACCTGGTGTTTTTCCTTTTGGGCCCCAGCCACTTTATCCTGGGCCCCCCCCAGTGCCCACATCTTCAACAGTAATGCCAAAGCCAGAAATTCCAACAGGTGTCAATGTGCAACCCACAGCCACGACTGCACCAATGCACATTCCCATGTCGATGACCCAAAGCCATTCCGCAACCCCGCAGACGGTGAACAGAGGTCACTCTGCACTGCCACTGTATGCTGGTTATGTTGGCGCAAGTGTAGGTTTGGATGTCCCTTTGCCAGCCTTGCGTAGCACCATACAGGAAAGCAAGGATCCCAGACGGAAAGTTGCCAAGTTCATCGCGGCTGAACGGAAGGAAGAGCATTTCGCGTGCACAAGCCATAGGAAAGATTCGCTGGCAAAAGAGTCCCGTGATGAAAAAGCACCTAATCAGACCACAAATGTAACAGAATGCCGAGTGTCCCAAGCTCATTCGAGCACAACCTTGCATACAACCAATAGGTCGTTGGGAGAGCACAACAAAGAACCCACTAACTTCAGAAAGAAGCGTTTGTTAGCACTGTGGGATATGGAGCTTAAATCTGCTGAGCCGCAAGGGAGTTTGATAATTGATAGCAGTTGTGGAGACTTGCCAGGTCAAGGTGGACACAAGTCGATATATTTAGGCAAGCGAATGAAGAAAGTGAATTTCTGCAGCAGCGTTCAATCAGAAACTGCAGATGCACAAGGCGGAAAGGAATCCCCTTTGGCTTGCTTGCCTGAAGCAGTACTTGGTCAGAGATTAGAGGCCAATGCTGCAATTGCTGCTGAACCCTTGGTTGCAGTGAAGATTACCGAAGGTGGACAAGTTGAGGCAATGACCGCAACTCCAGAGGCCAAATATGTATCTGCAGGAGATTCTGAAATTGGATCAAACCAGAGTGCAATGCAAGTGGTAGAGTCGAGTTTCACGCATAATCTGGAGGAACAAGTAGCAGCCACAAGTGAGCAACATAATGCATCGAATGTGGTTTTTAAGATCTGCGATGTATATTCTGTGACGAATAGGGAATATGATACATTGCATAAAACTAACATTGGCAGCGATTATTCCAAGACAGAAAATGAAAGCTCTAGTGCAGCAACTGAAACCATTGTAAATAGGGATGCTAGAACCACAATTGTGAATACAGATGGTGTAATACATCCGTTTTCATCCGGAAGTGATATGTGCAAAGCTCAGACGGATGATCACGAGATGCAATTGTCTACTGAAAGTGAAATAACAGATTCTATGTTGACGGAAATGTTTCTGAAAGCACGGTCTCGGAAGACCAAGCACTCGGGTGAAAGTGGCATCAGCACTGGCGAAGACGAAAACTGTTCCAAGAGTAAAATCCCCAGAACAATAATGAAAGGGAATCAAAAACGCTTCAGTACAAATCGCCCAAAGGACCGTGTTCAAGAAGTAATCCTTGACTCTGACATAATTGTGAAAATTGTAAAGCAAGAAGATGCAGACGCAACCGATTGGGACGAGCCTCGCGTTGGCTCGCCCCCTCTCCGCCGTTGTGAGATCGATGTCGAAAGCAGAAATACCCTGGCGAGTCTTTTGAAGGTGAAGCACATTGGGCAACTGAAGGCGACTCGAGGCGATGCCGATTGTGCGATTGCGCGGTGTGTCGGTGACGGACGGGGGGGAGCATTGACAAGAACCCGGCAACCAAAGCGGCCGATCAAATTAGAGGGCTCGAGGAAATCTTGGGTCCAGCCATTCGCACTAACAGTGATGAACCATTTCCGCGATTTTCAAAAGCAGGGGCTGGAGGCGCAGGCAAAGGAGTGGGGGAAAGCAAGTCAAGAAGTCAAAGAGGAACCCTCGTTTGCAATGAGCCCATCGACCCACCGGTGAGATGTGGCAGTATTTTTGACGTGTAAGATCGAGGCCGATTGGTGAATATCAGCCCGTGAGTGTAAATGCACTGCATGCCTGATGAATCTCTTGCGCTGATAACCTGGTGGAGCTGCCGCGCTATGTTCATTGTTCTGTTAACAGCATTTTGCAAATGTTTGCCATCTCTTAAAATGTTTTTGTATGATAGTTCCAGAACTTTGTCGTTCAAGTGACGTTTGCGTTGAGTTTTGAAGGTTATTAAAAATATTTTCTCTTGATTTTTACGTCGCATTCATTCTCACACATGTTGTAATTAAAGCATGTGATATTCGATTTAAAGCTTTCGTGACTGCAGGGATTCATCTTCTTGGTGCTTTCGGTAAAGTCACGTAGAAGGGAAATAATAAAAATAAAACATAATAAAATAATTCTCACGACGTTTCGGCCACAACGCAAGCAGCCGTCTGCATTTCCCATAAATTTGCTAAATTCCTCTTGATATGCAAATTCATTTAAGGGTGCCCCTTCCCCCCTCCAACCCAGCTTAAATATACGCTGCCAAGCCTGGTGGTGTCCATTCAGACGCTGTCTTCCCGACAGAACTGTTCTTCATCTGAGGACGGCTGCTTGCGTTGTGGCCGAAACGTCGTGAGAATTATTAAATGGTTTTATTTTTATTTCCATTCTACGTGACTTTACCGAAAGAACCAAGAAGTGATATTAATATCAATTCATGCTATTTTTTGGCAGAGTAATATTTCACTGTTCGCCGATGTGTTTTCGGGTCGTACCACGTGTTTTTTGGTATGTCCGAGGCTTCTCTCTGCACGTGCGAGGAGCTTCAAATTTTTTTTTTAATTCAGTTCCTGAAGCTCTCAAAGTCTTCCGTTCTGTTTCCACTCTCTCCCACCTCGGCATCTCTGGCACCCACCTCTTGACTCAAGTATTACCCTCTCACACATCCTCAGTCTACGTCAATCATTCAATCAGAATCTTTATCCTGGAGCAATCTGAACTATGATGCTCTTTGTTCACATATCCAGTCGGGGCTGGTCAAATCCAATCGGTGTTGCGCAGGGTTCAGTTCTGGATCTTTACCATTCTTTATATTTGAATCTTTTATCTCCCGCTTTTCGTCATTTCTTAAAAAATGCCCAAATCGTCTTCTTTTCCTTCATTGACCCCTGACCTTGCCTGTCGTATCTCTTCCTGTATCTGTTTCTCTGCAATCAAGGTTGACAACGGCAGAAACACTTGTCGGATGGTTATAGCTTTTGATTTGTTTACAACAGAGACAATAGGCCGATTACCATTGTATTGTCAGGGATTAGTGAGCAATATTAAAGCACTAATAATTACCTCGGGCATTCCCTTATCCAAGTTTTATCGTGTGTTCTTTGCAAATATTTTGTTGCCAAAGTGAGTGATTTCAGCCAAATGCTTTGGTAGAGCGTATGGCTGCTGCTGATGAAAACGTGTGGTATATTTTTTGTTTTCATTAGTGTAGACCTTGTTATTGCTTGGCATCTACATAAGAAAGCCAGTTTGGATATTGCTATTGGAACAAAATACGTTTTATATACTGTTCTGTCTTTCATGTTCGTTCCACTTATAAAATTAAAACTTGTGATTTTGTGCTTCAGTATATTCGTTGTGTCTTTTAAGCAAACGAGTTTTATTTAAAATAAACTGGACCGCTGCCATTTCGCGGGTCATTCTTGTAAAGCGACTTACGGCTGTTTCTTACCCGTGCCAATGAATACAATTAAACCAAAATGAATACAATCAAACCATAAAATGATCCAATTTTCAATGTCATGTTTATTGACTACGCGCATATTACACGGAAAGGTATTTGTAACAAAATAAAGTGAATACTGCCATTAAAGTACACGCGCACGAAAAAAGTGTGCTCTTCATAAAACGGCCTTCATCCAAAATGATGCTAATCATTTACAAACCAGCTGTGAACAACTACAAGTTTACCTTTTATCAACCACGGACAATCCACTGCTGGACGAAGGCCACCCCCTCCTCCCCTCCCAAGTCGCAGCCACCACTTCTCGTGATCCAATAACGTAATAATCTACCTGGAACCTACATACACATATACTGATGTTGGTGACTTCATGGCCGACCTCTTAGCGATTGAGAAATCTGATATTTGTATTCCATTAAAAATATACAGCACAGCTGAATGTATGTCATTTAAAACATCGCCGTTATAAAGTACACATAAAAAAAACCGTGCTTGTTGGGAAGTGAGTTCTGACATTTTTTTACATAAATGTGTAGCTGTGAAGAAGCAATAGGTATTAAAAAGTAAAAAAATTGGAGTGCATCGTACTATAGGTAACAATTCACTGGTTCCCAACCTGTGGTCCGCAAGGCCAATGTGGGAAGTGGTTTGAAAAAACTTCCAGACACTACGATGTAGTAATTTTAAGTTTTAAAACCACGCTATTGGTGCACGGTGATCCATGAACAGTTTTTGAGAGTTGGCTGTAGTCCGTGGGTCCAGAGAGGTTGTTGGAACCGACAGATAATTTTAAAAGCCTACTCTAAAACACATTCTGGTGTAGTTTTCGGAGCCAATGATTCTAAATAAATGTTGGTTCGGTTCCTTGTATGCAAGATGGTCACATGTTCATGTGTAGATATAATCGGGGTTTCCCAAACTTTCTCACAATCCACATCTTTCCACTTTAAAAATGTTAAGCTCGCCAATCGATTTAAATGAGCTCTACATGAAGTTAAGACATGTACACACACAACACACGTAAGATGGCTATCGCGATAATTAAAAGAGAATTCTCACCACGTGAGCCCTGACCAAATTACCCAGACTAAAACTACTTGGAACGTACACACATGTTTACGAAACGCGAACTTGGAGGTACAAAGCACAAGGTCAACGTTCTTCGTGTGCCAGTCTGAACAAGTGCGGTGCCTTCAACAACCGACTCCTGAAGGTAGAGGGAGTTGAAATGCTTCGTACGTGGAGCAGGAGATACAGATGCTGGGAACAGCCACACAAACTCTGCTCAGCCAGGACAACCCCTGGAATGTTCCTGATCTCATCAGACCTTAGAAACTAAGCAGGGTTGACCCTAAATTAGTGCTTGGATCAATGACAACCATGCAGCAATTGTTTATTGCTGTGGTTGTCCCACCTGATGACGGACGCTTGTGTTGCGCCCGAAACGTCGCGATTTAATTTATACCTATGTAACTTTACCGAAAGAACCAAAGAGTATAACAGGTATTATAGGATGTGGGTTTTTGGTGGGCAGCAGAGGTCAGTCATTGTACTGTACACCCCAACACCCATGCATGGTGAAGTATGGTCAAATAACTTCCACGATTCGCACAGCATGGGGAGGCCCTCATCCAGCAGTAGATTGGCAAACGGGCTGTACTTATATACACACATTTACGTGATGATTAGAATTCATCAGACGCATGCAACGATGAATTTGTATTTGAAAGGTGAACTCAGAAAGATGTGCCTCGGTATGTCATTAGGAATGGTATTGCGTAAAACCTGAGTAAAATGTGTGGCTGTGTTCGTGTAAAAGCCAGACAGCCCTTAAAGTATGAATAACCAAGGGTATCTATAGCTGGGTCACCCTGTACCTAAATCACGGTGGCAAACAAACTTGCTCTCCAAGCAGGTTGTTCTGCGGCATGTGGACTTTCTCGTTCAAAATGACAAATAAAAACACTTCAAAGGAGCGACAAAACAAATAAGGAACTGCATTGGCCACTCTGTGCAAAGGGGGCAACACAAAATATAACAAAAAAAAACCTCCACACTTGTTTACAATGCCTTGCAAAGGAGCAAACTGAAGTTTCAGGTGACAGTCTTCCTTCAGAACCAAATGGTAGAGGCTGCACTTTATTCTGGGGATTTGCAGGAAACTTTGTAATTTTGACAGAGCTAGGAAACCGTTTTAAGTTGACTGCAGAAGTAGTCTACTGTTATTCGACAGCGACAGATAGTGTATATGATCGCCAACGGTGGGAGGGGATGCTGCTGCCTGAAGTTAGTGGACCCAGCGGCCTCCGTAAAGGGGTGGGAGAGGGGAAATAAGAGACGCCGAATAATTACCATGGCTAATATCGGTGCCAAGAGACATACGGACCAGTCCTGGGCCTCCGTTCAGTGGAATCAACTTTAAATGAGTAACTGATGCAGGGTGAAAACATCAGCACTGGGGAGACGAAGCTGGCCAGGCATGGCCCTGGTCACACCCACCCCCTTTGTCCACTTTGGAACCAGAGTTCTGAACGGACCATCCAGATGACCAACAGTCACATTTATCCTCTCCATAGAGGATAAAGTGTGACCTACAGCTATCCCGGCCATCTCCATCTGTTCTGAAGAAACACCTTCACGCAAAACATCAGCCACTGCATATTTTTTACATTATAAGCAGTGTTAATGATTTATGTGGTTGAGTTTTTGAGTTGTAAATTTAACTTCAAACGACGTATAACATGTAAAACTAATGAACTGACATAAATCCATGACTTTGATATCACCTTACTCAGGGGCTCCACAGAGGATAAAAATAAAAGTATACATGAGCCAATTGGCTTTACAAGTATGAAATACATCTACAGTTGGTTAAAATGAATGTAGGAGTTGCACGCAGCCATCATGTGAAGGTTTGAAATCAATGCGTTCGTAGAAAAAATTAGGCTGCTTAGGGCAGCAACGTGGCCGAGCGGTAGGGCATCTGCCGGATGTTGCAGGGATTTGCGGTTCAAGTACAGTGGTCACCCTGGTTAATACTGTGGATGTATTAACCATGAATACGCACCCATTTGCACTGCAGTGGACGTTAAGTATCCAGGTTATTTGAAAAGGAGTAGGTTATGGGTGCCCTGTGTTACGATCTAAATATTCGACATTTGAAGAATTACCTGCGTATAACGCTACCGCTCATTCTACCACTGAGCCTCCAAGCTGGATTCGCCGACTTTATCTGTGAAATGGAGCGCTTTCATGATAGCCTTGCGCGATAACAAAAGTCGACAATACTAAACGTGCCAAATTATTAGCAGAAGGTAGAATGCGTTTGTTTTGTTCAGGAACACCATATGGTTCCTTGCAAGGCATGGTTTGTCTGTGAAGTCCTGTGGTCCCACGTTTAATTACGTACAGTTTCCTTTCATCATCATGCGACAGTATTTGTGATCGCGTTAAATAGCACACTCTCGTTTTCTGCAGAAACACACACATTCTCTGTTAGGTATGAATAAAATAAATCGTAACAAACATGCTAATCTCTTTTGAAACCCGTTTGAGTCTTCATCAAAATATAAAACGTTAATCGGTAGACCTAAAGGAAATGTGCTCCATCTGCAGTTTGGTCACTGATAGTTTTTAGCCTCTATATTTTTTTATATCTGATAGTGTCAAGTTAACTAAATTAGTGCTGTATTTTTATACTTCAGTTTAAAATAAACACGTTCTCTGACCAATTTAAATTCAGTATTCTAGCCAATATGCGGCAATTAGAAATAACTCACCAGGCAGCTTGACTACAGTATGACTTTTCACCCCGTGTTCTTAAGATGAAAAAATGCAAGTTTCTGACGTCGCTCAATAGTGATGAAAACACATGATTAGAGCTCAGACGATTATTCGATTACGTGAATTATTTTACTAAAAGTTTGCATTTGACTTTGTTTCATGGTCCATTGCTTGGGCCTCTTTAAAAACTGGGGCTACCCCCACATCCTGCCTCTCGAATGTGGGAAACCCCCTACAAGCCACACCCAGCGTGATGTGGCTGATGATGCTGACGACATCATCACCTCTCGTCCAGAGACACACGTAGGAACAGAGGTGCGACTTTTCCCCCCCCAACGATTTTCGTGTTGTTCGATTAGTCGAGTAATCAAACTCATAATTGGACCGATAATTAAATGATCAGATATCCCATATGGACCGATCTTCGCGTGACGACTAGGGTGGTCTGTTGATGTTCCCGATGAGTCCTCAGGTGTTTGTTCATGTCGTAGGTTATGTGGGTTGGTTGTTTAGTTGAGAATGTCATTGGACTCGCTGTTGGGAATGGGACGCAGGACCAGTGGTGGTAGTGGTCGTCCCCGAACATCTGTCGGTAAAAAAAAAATGCAACAACAACAACAACCGGTATTATGTTCTGGCCTGAGGACATCTAGAAACACACGGTAACATTTTTTTGACTTTGGGGCCATTCATATTCTTGGTTCTTTCGGTAAAGTCACGTAGAAGGGAAACAATAAAATAATAAAAAATTAAAATATATTTATTGTTTCATAAAAATATGAAACGTAAAAATATAAAAGAATAAACATATTTATTTCTTATTATTTTATTGTTTCCCTTCTACATGCCTTTACCGAAAGAACCAAGAATATGAATCCCTGCAGTCACGAAAGCTTTAAATAAAAATTTGGGGCCATTTCCGAGTCAGGGGTGACCAGCCCCTCCCCACCCAGCTCCTCCCTGCACGACGGACGGACACAATAATCCCCTGTGGGCTGGTGTAACCAAGAGGTTCCTACCAGTATTATCTACTCGGTTATGTTATTAAGGATGCACGCCACAAGGCAAACTGGCCAATTTCTAGCGACATCCAATAAGTGAAGGCCACGATACACTCGGGCAATTCGAGAGGACAGCAATTGTCAATGTCAGCGTGCATCTATCAAAACTTTCCATGGCAGATAGAGTTGTGTCTTGTCACGAAAAACAGAGTGGAAAAGTGTGTGTTCAAGAACAAGTCTGCACAGCACATTACGTGACCTGACCGCGATCTGATTAGAAGCTGCCGTCTTAGTTGCCCACTAGGGGGTGCAGCGATCAGATTTGTCAAGAATTGGGCGAGTGAATTTACATTGCATATATTGCAGGGGTGGGGAACCTTTTTATCTGCCAAGGGCCATTTGGATATTTATAACATCATTCGCGGCCCATACAAAATTATCAACTTAAAAATTAGCCCGTTATATTTGGCCAAACATTTCAATAACTCACCCCTAATGCGATGGCTGGAACTGCTTCTCTTTGGCGATGCGTGTGAAGTTAGCTGCTATTGATGATGTTGCTACTCGCAACTGCTTTTACAGGTTTGCTCCTAGATTTATTGAATTTCGAGTCCCGCCTGCGGTTGCCTTGGCAGGGCCAGACCAAATGTTTTCGCGGGCCTTATACGGCCCATGGGCCGAACGTTCCCCACCCCTAGAATAAGCATTAACGTACGTCTCTTTTGTCAATCCACTGCTGGATGAGGACCTCCCCACCGCCGTACGGGTCGTGGCGAGATCATTTCACCATATATCACCACGCTGCTCAGTGCCGGTACCGATGGCAATTGCCAGTGATGATTGTTTACGACTTATTCCGTGAAACTCTCCGAACGTACAGTGATATCTTGACCTTTCAAGAGCAGGCGACGCCCATTTTAATTTTCACCCTGCTTCATGCCTATTTATCCCGCGGTGTAATGTTACGCGGTGGCATTACAGGTCCAGTTCAAGTGCAGTGTCCCATGACTGGGTGTGGGAGCATCACAAGCTCACCTGAAGTGGTCGTGTCGTAGTTAGCGCTAGCACTGTGCTACGAACCCGGCCGCCCCGGTTCGATTTCCGCTCACGGCCAATAACAGCGGCGAATATTTGAACCGGTCCTGGGCCTTCCCTAGGTCGACTCAGCCTCAAATGAGTACCTGGTGTGGTGTGTAAACATCGCCACTGGGGAGACAAAGGCGGCCGGGGTGGTGTTGGCCACCCACCCCCTCATGTACCGTTCTGCCTTTCAAAGGGTGCTCGCCAACAGCACTTGTCCCAACAGTCTTGTTAAGGCTATACGGGAGATCTTTGTTTGTGCTTTGCTGACCTGAAGAGGTAGTAGTGGCCGTGAAGGCGGTGGTGCCACCCTCCGTGTGGTCGTCCAAGTTGGCGGGCTCCACCTTGTTCCGCTTCACCTTCTTGCGTTTTTTTTTGGGCTTCTCATCAACGCCTGTGGAACGCCATCAACAATTACACTCGGTGGAAACAAGCCCTGAACGTCGAGTCTGTAAGTAGGAATATCCGAAACACCAATTGGCTCAGATGTGTCCAATGTTAACATTACAAATTGTAACATGAACATGTTAAATGCATGTCACGTACGCAAACTTTAAGAGCATATTACACGTAATTGATTGCTTAAATGATTGGATCGCTCAGCTCTACATATTACTCACCTGCACATGCCCAATCACGTGGTTTACAGGTAGTCCTGATGAGTGCTCAGATGCTTTGCCATGATGTGGATGGAGGGGGACAGGCCTGGACTTTTTCACGTTATCTGATCAGTTGAGTAATCGAACCGATATTCGGCAGAATAACCAATTACTTAAATAATCGGACAGCCCAGCTGTAAACCTCTCGGAAGCCTCGGGGTTTTGCTCACTCAACAACGGAAGCATCTGTGAAATACTGGACATCTGTGAAAAAGAGCTTAATAGCTCATCGGATTCCCCCAGCATACACATTCAGATTTTGAAGTCTTGCAGCATCGACGGCGTGAACGTACCGGCGCTGGTCGTGTCGGTGCGGTCGGTGTCGCCCTCCGAGTGTTGGAAACGCGCGCTACCGCTCGCCGGTCGTCCCGCCTCGTCCGCGCTGTCACCCAACGCGGGGGGGCCTCGCTCCCCCAAGCCGGGCTCCGCGTTGCCCGCAGCCGACGTTTCCTTCTCCTGCAGCACCACCTCGCCGTTGAGGGCGCTCGCGCTCCTCTTCGCCGTGTCCTTCTCTCGCTTCATTCGATCTTCATTCTGCGCGGCGGCGGACGGAGCGGTGGTGACGGCCAGTTCGCGCGAGTTTATACGCGCACGTGTTAGATAACACGGCGGCAGTAGCACAGACCCACTCGTGCACATTTCGCACTTGCGATTAGCGCGGCTGGCTACGTACGGTGCGAAAGACGTTCTACATACATACACATGTACCAGTGTGTGTATGTACAACCCCTTTGTGGGCCTCTCCACGCCGAGCGGGACACGGGGGTTATTTGACCATACTTCACCAAGATGGTCGGTACACGTCAAGCAGCGAAGGCCTGAGTGTATCATGGCCTTCACTAGCAGGGTTGGTGAGTGTGGGGACCATTGACGTGGGGGGAATATAAGTACAGTCCAACAATCGATTTCGCTGGATGACCACTATGTAGGACAGCCCCACAGCAGCCTATGACAACCTGACTTGCATGGTGATCACCAATTCAATTACCAGGTTCAACCCTGCTTGGATTCTGAGATCTGCTGAGATCAGGCACATTCCGGGTGATTTTCCATCCGTGATAGATTTGTGATTACATCTCAAAATACTGTAAAAATTATGTAATAATGTTTACAGAACTTTGTCAATACACTGTCGGATGTAGACCTCCTTATTCTGTGTCAGTCACCAGGGTTCTTTGACCATACTTCACCATGCTTGGCAGTGATAGCTGGTGAAGGATGCGGGGTAGGGAGCAGGATATCACTAGCTGCTGATGATTGCCGTGGCTGGAAATTTAACTTAGGTGGCCAGGTTCATCGCAAAGTGAGGCACTACTCCACTCCATGAGAATAATGCAATTTATTTATACAAGAAATACCCATGACGTTTGCAGGAGGGTTGTGCATTGGGATATTTTTAATGTGGGATGAAACTGGAGCACCCAGGAAAAACCCACACATATGAGGAGTCACAAACCCACTTGCTGTACTGCCATCTCTAAAAATGGGGGGGAAATGCGCATCTGGGGAGGTAGAGAGATGGATGTATTTGATTTGCGTTTATAGGTGACCTCCCTTTACGTAACAAGTACGTACCTACGAATAGCACCTACGATTAGTGCGGCTGGCTACGTACGGTGCGAAAGAAGTTCTGCATACGTACGTACAACTAACAAAATTTATTTCTTGAAGTTAAAGCGATAGGATTCTTCAGAAGTTAAAGTTTTAACCTGAACCACACGGAGTTGTTGCCAAGCAGGTTTAACATCAGTACACTATAAAACACACTTGATTTATATATCTATAAAATAGCTTTAATAAAGAATTGTTATACAAGGTGCAGCCCTGTAATTATTTGCTCAGGGACCTCTAGAGAGGATATTTGGCCTACTCTAGTACGCTGGTCAGTTGCCTTGGAAACAGGTGGGAGCACCTATCATTTGTATTATTTTTTATTTTACCAGGTAAGGCCCACTGTTTCAAAAGCGACCTGGCCACAAATGATAGCTCAACGAAGCGGCTGATCGTGTGCAAATTCATATCAGCCAAATACTCAAAACGCATGTTTCTAAATGTGGAGCGAAAAAACCAGAGGACCCAGATAAAGATCCACGCGGCCATGGGGAGAGAGAGAGAACCTGCAAACTCCAAATATACAGCAGGCATCAGGGTCGGGATCGAACCCACAAACTGCTGTATATCAGGCGAGGTAGTTACCATCTCCACGGGGAGAGAGAGATGGAGACGCGCAAACTACAAATATACAGCAGGCATCGTCAAAGTCGGGATTGAACCCACGACCTGCTGTATACCAGGCGAGGTAGTCAACATCTCGCCACCGTGGGACCCCAATTTATTGCGCAGCACGCCGCGACCTGCTGGGTGGACAGAGGTGGTGGGGGCGATGATTTAAAGAACCCTGCACCACAGTTTTAATTGCCGCACCGGGAGATCAAAGCTGCAAACTCTGGGTTGCAAGTGCAGTTTGCTAACCATTACACCATGAGAGCATAGTTGCTATAAGGATTAATGAACAAGAAATGTTCTGCTATCTCTGAGTAACATCTATAGACTTGGGGGGAAAAAAACCCAATTAACATTTTGGCACATTCTACTTGTAGATCAATTTAAATGCAGATTAACAGAAGGCAGATTACACAGAGGTGCTCGGTTAAACAGAGCTGACTGTAATGTGAGTTTTGTAATGCGAGTTTTGTGATGCTCAAAAGAGCTACTACAGCATGTCTAAATGTAGCTCATCAAGCAGTTGGTCGGCATATAGAGATTTGCATTCATCAATTAATATCGATTTGTCTCCGAGTTTTCTCCGGGTACTCGGGTCTCATCCCACACGAAGCCAAATGCTCAGGAATGGAATTGGCCAAACATCCTCAGTGCAGGACCCTTCCCAATAAAGTCATGGGCCTTGAGAGTCAGTGAGACCTTCTTAAATGCAGACGTTACATAATGAGCACGATTATTGTGCTCATCGATGGAATTGGGCGCGTATGAATGTATGATTTTCAATCGGTGGCAATGCCATGCGAACAAATTTGCTTCCGGGGCGATTTGTGCACAAGACGGAACACCTCCGGCAGCGCAAACAAGACCGTACGGACGTGACGGTGCAAGAAACGAGACGCACGGTACAATTAATTGAATTGCGGGCAGGGAGATTTGGCAAGGGTAACCATTCCATAGCTAGAAACCACAAAAGCAAGTTGATGTAGCTCGGTCACCTGGGCGATGACGTTCTCAATCGGCTGGAAGGGGTTTTCCATCACCTCATTGCCCTCGTCCCCCATCACAGATTTCCCCTGTCTCTCCGCCTCTTCACGTTCCTGCTGGTCCCTGAGTACAGCACACACGCCACTGCTCGTTCACACAGAGTCTCAGCTCCTGCACACGAGCCGATTATATCGCTCCGTGTCCACGGTTGATGTCCTCTCAGGCACGTTCCCTTGTTTGGCTAACACTCCACTGTGAGTTGAAAAATAAGAATAATTGTAATCAGTGTGTGTGTGTGCTACATGCTCTGACATTACCTGCTATGACATTAACGATATAGAACAAAACCTGAGACGTTTGCAAAGATGTACGAAAAGATGCATGCTTGGGATTAAGATGGAATGAGCAACACATGAACGAGAACATACGCAGCTTAATGAGATCATCCATAGCATTAATAAAAGTAAGTGGCCTTTGGAAGGACATGTCGCGAGAAGCGATGACGGACGATGGCTAAGAATAATAACGGGGTAGCAGCCAATGAATGGAGCGCATCCAAAATGATGTCCACGTAGGCGACGGATCGATGAAGCCAGCTCGTGTGCAGCTTCTGGGCGAAATTGTTGCATCGCAAAATCGTGAGAGGTGGCTTGAGGAGGACTTCATCCAACAGCAAATCGATCATGGCCGCTACTGCCGACGATGACTATGATTATCAATATTAATGATGATCACCGCAAGCGCCACCCACCTCTCCTGGCGAACCCGCAGGACCCTTTCCCTGCGCTCTTTGCGCTGGGCGGCCTCCTGCGCGCGCTGAGCGGCCGTGTCGCGCTCCACACGCTCCTTGAGCTCGGCGTAGTCGTGGTTGATGGTGCGCAGGATCCAGTGCAGCCCGGTCACGATGGCGCGGTCCTGCTTCTTGCCGCTGCCAACCACGGCCGAACACGTCTCCTGCCGCGGACGAATTCCCGGTACGTGTGTGAGACCGTTGGTCTCGCTCGCTCGTGGAGCACTGCTCCTATAACCTTATTTTACACCAGGGACGTGCGGCCAGGGGAGGCAGAGCCTCATCTGTCATACACTCCAATGAAAATAGTTGTTACGAAAAAATATTCCACTGATCTGTGTTATAAATGTCATTTCTGTACGATTCCAATTATTACAGAGAGATAGTAACAGGCACACGCTTATTGTCCGCGCAACATCCAGTTTCTGAGGGGTTGCGCAATCAGAGGGGAGGCTGAGCTCGTCGCTGCCTCACCTCTCGTCTCCCTGTGTTTGCAGCAGAGCTCCGCAGATTTGGCGATTTTGACTATCAAAATTATTGGAATCGTACAGAAATGACACAACACGGATCAGTGGAAGAATCTAAATTTTTATGTTATCATTTTTTACTTTTCGTAACATCTATTTTTATTGGAATATGACCGGTGAGGCTGTGCCTCCACTGCCTCGCCTCACCGCACATTGGAGGTGTGTCTTTGTAAGCCAGAAAATAGTGTACATTTATCTCTGAGAAGATGTGTTTTAATCGAGTTGCTCAGAATCATGGACCAGAAGACAAGTTCTCCATAGCAATGCGTCACAACCCAGAGGACAGAACACCACCAGAAACTGCTCAGATTCATCTTCCAGAAGAAGAGCCGCTGCTCTATTTAAAGCAGCTCGTTCATAATCAATTTCTGGAAGATGGTAATCCTTATGACCATATTCTCCACAAAACATAGTTCTTTTCATAATTATGCCAACATTTGGTGGTGGCTTTCACTTTCTAGAGCATCTTAAAGTCCAGATAATACGAGCACGACTACCGCTGTTGAAACCGTGTAGCTACCAAATGTCCTGGTTTGGCCGGGAATGTCCTAGATTTTTAGAAAGGCTGTCTAGGTGTTGCAAAGCTTCAGTGCAATTTTTTTACTTAAAACTTTCGTGACTGCAGGAATTCATATTCTTGGTTCTTTCGGTAAAGTCACATATTATTTTCAAAATTTTATTTTTTTATTTTATTTAGCTTCAGTGCAAGTTGGGATTCTGTCCCCTGTTTAACATTTCCTTGCCTCCTGCGCAGGGGCGCAATGACCTATTCCAACGGGTGGGGTATGCAAGATGCGACTGTGGGCCCCCCTCCTTTCTCCCGACTCGCTTTTACTGAAAAAGCTATGGATGGTTTTAATCCGCGTACAATCATATGTAGGCTATAACTAAATATATTATTTTAGTTGCACCACGTATTGGGTTTAGATGAAGACAAGTCTCACAGTGACGATATTTATAAAATATTTAAAGGTACAATACTCGAAATGAAGTAATCATGCATCTTGCTTTCGAGCAAGCCCATCAGTCTCGGATTTCCTTAAAGGAGGTGGATCATGCAACTTTACGCTCTATTGATATGATAGTCAGATGCGTTAATCGGGCTTGGTCCATGGTAGACCACGGGTACTTTTTAATGAATATATATAATAAAAACTTAACACTTTTTACTTATTTTTCTGTTGATTCGGGCCATCTTGTGGCTGGCTGCGCCCCTATTCGTCGCATAACGCTGCCATGTACCCCCCCCCCCCTTCTTAGTTGCGCCGTGATCCTGCTCAAATCAAAGAGCAGGGCTACCCAACTAGTGGGTGTATTTAGCAGGGGAGCAAAGCAGGGCTTGTGAGCAATGGACAAGGGCCAACATCAGAAAGACAGAGGGAGTGGGCCACCTACTGTGGTGGGTGGCGATAGCGGTTGAGCGGTTGTGGTTGGGCCTGACAAGTTGAGCTTCCCGGAAACATAGTAACTACTACAACGAAGCACATCCTTTTCTTAGAATCAAGTAAGAGCGAATGCAAGCTGTGCAACGTTGTGAAAGTACAGGCTTTTTACCGCGCGTACATTTTTCTTTACTTAACAATGCTTAACAAGGGAAGTATTTACCGTCTCAAATAATTTAACTTTTCAAACTTAAGCTTCGGTACCAATTCAAGCGTAAGTACATTTGCACACATGCACATCAACTATTTAGATCTTCTTGGTTCTTTCGGTAAAGTCACGTAGAAGGGAAATAATAAAAGAATAAAAATAACACATAATAAAATACAATTCTCACGACGTTTCGGCCACAACGCAAGCAGCCGTCCTCAGGTGAAGAACAGGGCTGTCGGAAAGACAGCGTCCGAACAGCCCTGTTCTTCACCTGAGGACGGCTTTCGGAAAGACAGTGTCCGAACAGCCCTGTTCTTATTTAGATGGCTTACATTTCAGTTTCTAACATTTTTTTATAGCTGACCATTTGTTTCTGCATTGACTAATTTCAGCAAAGTTCCTTATCAGCATGATGGCTTTTGCAGCCAGGAAGTCCGTGCAACAGAAGAAACCGCAAGCATTGCCCTACTGTGAAACTAACATTAACCAAAGGGAACTTATTTGGGCACAGCAATTATATTATGAATAAGAGCATATCCAAGACATTTTTTGAGTTTCTCATCGGCCCAATAGTTTTTCAGACCATTATTACATAGTAGCATTTGTTGAAGCAAAAACACTGTAAACGAATTTCATGCTTGTTCAAGAAAATGCAGCTGAATTCGCAGATGTTATTGGCAACAGCACATCATGTATGTACGTAACTCTGGGTCAGTATCGCACCTTTAAGAATGGGACACACATCTGAGTTCATAAGTCCATGCATTCCGAGGCTGCTCCTGTCACCACAGTGCAGTGAGTGATAGGTGCGTCCGTAAACACACGAAATCTCTTGGTGTACTTACCCTTTCCTCATTGCCGTTAATGATCATCTGCTCTTTACTGCTCTGAGTCACTGACTGCGATCATTTGCATGAGAGTGATAATGATGATTTGAATGAAATCCTTTGGACTTTTAAACACTTGGTTCCAACAAATCGCAGATTCATAATGCACCAAATAGCACTTATATTATCAGGGCATGCAAGTGGTAAAATAATTTTCGGCCAGTCAACCGACGTGAAAATCCCCTCCGCCTCATTCTCCCCCCCCCGCCGCCCCCCCCCCATGACCAATCCAATAAGCATAACCAATCGTCAGCTCGGCTGGGTCAGAGGAAACCAATACAGTCTGGGGGGGGGGGGGGGTAAATGCACTTCCCCAACGCGGCAAGCGAGACGGCGGGTCCGCACGCGCTCCCGTAACATCGTGCTCTTGGCCGTCAAGACGTTCCGCTAGCGGAAAGTGCATCGGGTGCGTTACGTTACGCGCAGTCTGGATCCACGAGATAAAAACACCGTGAGAGGCAGGAGAACGGAGAAGCCTCTCTGAAGGTACGTCTTCGTTTATCGTTGAGTTATATTTAAAATTACACAATGTTATCTGTCATCTGGTCGCACAAAATATGCGGGAGGCATGTTCTGTGTTCGTCGCTTAACATAAAACCACACCATTATTTCTTATTTCTTCTACCACTGACCCATGTGATGTTCATTTTCAATTGACTAAATTAATTGTACAGTCCGTTTGTCAATCCACTGCTGGACGATAACGCCCTCCACGCGGAGCGGGTCATTGGGCGTTATTTTCACAATACTTCACCACGATCGTCAGTGTGGATTGATGGAGTAGATTATAGACTTGGGAGCATAGAAGTACAGCACAGCACTGGTTTTTGCTGCACTGCCCTCTATTGTGTGCAGTGCAGAATAATAATTTACATATAGGGACCTTGGCTTAAGGAAGTTGCCTATAAATGTATGCACGTATGTTGAACTTCTTTTACATCGTACGTAGCCAACCGTGTTAATCGTAAGTGCTTAAATAAAAAAATATTTCCATTGATTGTTGACGACCAAAGCCCTGTAACTGCGGTGTGTGGTGGTTACCCATCCGAGCACTATCCAGGCTCAACCGCAACATGGCTTCAGAGATCTGATGAAATCCAGTACATTCCGGGTGATTTGTTCAAAGGCAATTCACAAGTTGCAGGCAGTGATATCAAGTGTTTAGGCTAGGGAGAGCAAAGCGGGGGTAGAGCTGAGTGTGGGCGATCTGGCTTTAGGGGCACCCAAGGACACGCAGATCCAAACATCGTGACGAACACAGTGACGAAGGCAGCTGGTAACAATTTGGCGATGAGAAGCGTTCAAACGGCAAACACGAAGTCCAACCACGGCTCAACCAGGGCGCGCTCTTCGGGCCCTTTGGCTACGGCACTCACGATGTGACAGATGCACTTGTTCTCGTTGACGAGCTGCTCCAGCGAGAGGTGCTCGATCACTTCCGCTGCACCCAGGGCGCCGACTTTGTCCTGTTTGTTGGCCAGCCTGAAGAGTACGAAAGGGGGCGGGGTGGTGGTGGAAGGAAGCACTAGGAACTCAACTGTAGCTCGTGCATCGAATGTAAAACACGCTGTAAACGCAAAGCAGCGCTTACGACACTTCAAGAATGCGCGTAACAAAGAATAACTGTGTTGTGTAAAAACCCTTACGATGGCCCCTGTTGGGGCAAGCGTTGTGAGCAAAAGGCAAAGGTGCAGCCCTGCAAATTACACGCTCATGCCGATGTTGTCAGAAGAGGCGCCAGCACTACTGTGAGCTCTCGAGATGACTGTGGCCTACTCCTTCCACGCTGGCCAGATGTCTTGGGAAATGTGGGAGTACCCACAATTTACCCCAAGGCATTCGACCTGAAAATTTACCAACTGTAGTTGTACCCACGTGCACAGGCAGAGGTGGGGGGCGATTTAAGAAACTTGCCCTGAGCTTCAGCTGCGGTGCCGGCAGATTTAATCGAACCGGCGACATCTGGATAGCAAGCCACGTGTGCTAACCATTACACCACGGGAGCAATCATTAAACTGTGGTGTACTTACTTACAAAAACAGATGCTGGCTATAGTGCTGCCACATTACTTACATCAAATGCAAAGCGGTATGTAAAAACACTGAAAAGGATACAAACAAAATAGTGCAACACCGTGCCACGTAATAATCCCATACCAAGCCACCCCCATATACTAAGACGGCTAGGGATGAGGTCTGGAGCAGAAATGGCCAGAGCCTTGCTCAGCTGCCTTTGTGCTACCAGCGTTGGTCATGACCAGTGCAGCAGGTATTTCTTTTGTAAGCTGCATTCCCCTCGGGGAAGACTGACCTAGAGGTCAGGCAGTGTTTTATCCTTCACCGTCTTGCCTGCCTGCCTGCTTTCTGATTAATTAGCACGATTCAAGAGTCACAATTTGAGAAATGCTTTTGTCCCCTTTGTATAATTTCAACCGCGCCGCCTATTTAATTTAAAAAATTCTTTACTTCTCGTTCATTACATTTCCCCGCAAGGTAATGTTTGCATATCATTTGAATGAATTGTAAATAATTAATGTCCTACGCACAAGATTTGGTGCACGTATTTTTTGCCTTTAATATTGGTGAATAACGATTCAATTGTTAAATCCACTCCTATTCTCACGATATGTCAAACAAATCTTGCGGAACAGCTACAGATTACGTGCATGAGTATTGATGGAGCCACGGTATAAAATGCTTATGTTTTATTTTTATTATTTTATTACTTCCCTTCTACGTGACTTTACCGAAAGAACCAAGAAGATGAATCCCTGCAGTCACGAAAGCTTTAAATCGAAATATATAAAGGATCAAATCCCATATACAGCCACCACTACCAAGCAAATGAAAACCCTCCTAGCAAGGAAAATAAAAAAAAGGAATAAACAAATTAAGAAATGGCACCAAAACAAGAAACACAAGAACAGGATAATTATCACAACAAAGACATTAGTCCATTCGCTCTACACATCCCAGACCACAATCCCAACTTCTCAACCAAGCCAGGAAAACATCACAGGAGGGGCAATCGGTGGAGTGCCAAATAGTTGTGACTAAAGTTATTCAAGTAGTTTTTCATAAGCGTCATATCATGATACAAAATCATACATTCGGAACTCTTCCAGAAGCGTATACTGTACTCCATGTTTTAGATTTCATGGACCTACTTTTGAAAAAATGTTAAGTTATCTTTTTATTCACACACCTAGGGGGGGGGGGGGCACACTTTTATACAGACCGTGACGATGAGAAATGTTTTATTTACAAATTCTCACAACTGGAATTTTTCCACATTAAGCGAAACAAAATCTAATTAAATGTGAAGTTTTATTTGCGGAAGCTATATTGACTGACCTCAGACCATTCACTCACTGCACTTGAAAACTCGGTTTTCACTAAGCATCGAACAACGGCGGCCACCGCATCGCACGCTTTCAGATGCGCTTCTGCGGCCACCTGGAACGCTCTTCCTTTCCGATATTAAGAAGCCACTGGAGCTAAGCACTTTCAAATCATGTAGGCTGAAAACTCATTTCTTCAGAACTGCTTTTTGTGATTATTTTGGCGTTCTTCCCGCGCGCCTCCGATTAGTACGGTTGGCTACGTACAGTACGAAATAAGTTCAATATACATACAGACACACATAATCACCGGTGACTGAAAACCATATTTAAACAAAGGATCTCAGCGGCGCCGGCTTAATGTCTGTGACCCCTCAGGCACAGGACCAATTCTCATCTCCACACACAATTTCCATCACACCAGCTCCGGTTAGTAAAGAGCGAGACAATGATATGCACGAATAGTGGCAGGAGAGTAAAACAGAAACAACGAGCTGTTCGATAAAGGTCACAGTTTCAAATACAATTCCGTTATTTTGCGGAAATTATTAGGTGTTTTTTTTCTTTCCACCAGACCCTCGCTCGCTCGGCAGTTCGGGGGACTGGTCTGCACGCTAATTCCGTTTACAATACAAGGCGAAGGCTATCCGGGTGCAGCAAGCCCAACACCTGCCCCACCGTATCTGGATATCGTACATATTAACAAAAAAACCCATGCGTCATGTTTAAAAAAAAAACAGAAAAACTTGCCACGAGTTTCGATATGGATTATTTCAGCAATGCATACGTGTGCGCGCTGCAAAAGGGACACATTTAGAAATGTTGCGTCAACAAAACAATCCAGTGCTCTATGTATGCACGTAGAACTTCTTTCGCACCGTGCGTAGCCAACCGTGTGAATCGGAAGTGTGGGGCAAGGACAACAAAGTAAACACAAAAAGCAGTTCTAAAGAATGCTGACATAACACGTTTACATTGTTATGTGGCTTGCCACTAAGCTTGATACAACACAGATCTGTGCCTTCAAGTATATCAAGTTATTTGCAAGTGTTATACATTGTTTGTTACAAAGCTAACCATATATTATTGTGCATATCTAACCATATTGATGCATGGTTAGTTATACACAACAATGTAAAGCACCGAATCTCAAGACATATACAATATAAATAAACATTGACGTGAATAATATTGGATATGAATGACATCTTATTGGTTCTTTCGGTAAAGTCACGTAGAAGGTAATAATAAAATAATACAAATAAAACATAATAAAATGCAATTCTCACGACGTTTCGGCCACAACGTAAGCAGCCTTCCTCAGGTGAAGAACAGGTCTGTCGGAAAGACAGCTGTCTTCAAGACAATTGTATTTAATGTTTTATTTTTAATTATTTTATTATTTCCCTTCTACGTGACTTTACCGAAAGAACCAAGAAGATGAATCCCTGCAGTCACGAAAGCTTTAAATTTAAATCTATTCAAGTATAATAGAATGTGTCCAACCCCTTTGTCATTCGACTGCTGGAGGATGATGGCCTCTCACGCTGCATCGGCCAATGGGCGTTATTTAACCATACTTCATCCCTCTGGCTCGTTCAGGTTGATCAGGAGGGGGTAGGTCGGATGTCACTTGCCATGGATATTCACCGTCGCAGGCAGGGGTGGGGAACCTTTTTTCTGCCAAGGGCCATTTGTATATTTATAACATCATTCGCGGGCCGTACAAAAATTATCAACTTAAATATTAGCCTGTTATATTTGGTCAAACATTTTATTAACTCACCCCTAATGTGATGGCTGGAACTGCGTGTCTTTGGTGAGGCGTGTGATGTTAGCTGGTAGTGATGATGTTGCTACTCGCAACTGCTTTTCCAGGTTTGCTCCTAGATTTATTGAATTTCGAGTCCCGCCTGCGGTTGCCTTGGCAGGGCCAGGCCAAATGATTTCGCGGGCTTCATACGGCCCGCGGGCCGGACGTTCCCTACCCCTGGTCGCAGGAATCGAACTCAGGCCGCCCGAGTGCGCTAACCACTGAGCCACAGCTCCACCCCATTTAGGTACTGTATGACACTAAATATAGCAGTGAGTTGGACTGTGGCATTGCAGGGCCGTGATGCCTGGTGACAGCATAGGGAGGCCTCCATCTAACAGTAGATAGACAATGGCTGATCACGATGGTGATGATAATGACCATCTCTATCCGCTGACAGACATGGTAACATCTACACATTGCTTATGTTAATGTAACATGCACTTTTGGCGGGCGCAACTCTTCCTCCCGAGATCAGAAAGCCACTGAAGCTACGCACCTTTTAAATCATGTAGATTGAAAACTCATTTCTTTAGAACTGCTTTTTGTGTTTAGTTTGTCCTTACCCCGCACCTCTGATTAGCACGGTTGGCTACGTACGATTCGAAAAAAGTTCAACATACATACAAAGATAGTTAATGTGCTTCTTATCACCTCTTAAGACTGTTGCTCCGTTTAATCTCACCTCCAGTTCATGCTCTGTGCTGTGAACCCAGGCACTTGAGTTGGACTCTCAGTCTTGTCTAACATCAGCGACACGTGATATCTGAATCGGTACTGGGTGCACTACTTCACCAACGCACACTGACTATTGTGGTGAAGTATAGTCAAACAATCCCCATGACTGACAGCATGAAGAGGCCTTAGTCAGCAGTCAATTGACAAATAATTAATAATTATTATAATCTTAAATATTATCCCACCTTTAGGTGTGGGCTGGTGGTGAAACTGCATTGCATGGCCATTGGTCATAAAGGTCAAAAGAGTTATTTTAAAACTATTTTGAAACCCATTTTGCAGGCGACGCTATAACAAATCAAACGCATTTTTCTGGCCCCAAAGCTCCCAACTGAAACTGATCACTTGGGAATGGTCCCTCTGTACCGTTAAATAAACATCTCTCCTAACAACAGCCACTTATTACTATTATTATTGTTACGCTTGTTTAGCCAGCAAAGACTCTCTGAGTCTCAAGACACTTTGTTGCTGTAGGTGGAGATGTGGTTATGTATAATCCCGTTTGTGTAAATTTTCAGCACTGGGATGTTTGGTCAATATAACGAATATTGTATGTTTTTTTTTAGCTATGGAAGGAAACCGGAGAACCCAGAGGGAACCCATGCAGAACAGTTGGAGAACATACACATTCCATACAGAGAGACGCCTGAGTCGGGAATGAGACCCAGGCAAATTCTTGCTCTGACAGACACGGGTTACCCACTGCGCCGCCCATGTGGGTACGCCTCGGCAGACCACATTCCACTTCTATCTCAAATGTATCCACCCTTTTTTTAAAATCCTTTATATTAAGTTCGCTTGCTTGCGTGCTTGCTTACGACCGTGCAAATCTTTCGGTCGTTTTTTAACCCACTTCCCGTGATCCAATCGAGCTGACATTTTGCACACAGACTCGTTGTGCTAGATAATTAATGTTCGTGAAAAAATTTTCCCAAAATTTTACACTGTTTAGGGAAAACAAATTAAAATTGAATTACCAATTGCTTAATACTGGCAGACAATCATCTGACCCATAGGTGGCAGCCATCTCAAGCCAGAGGACGAGAGGACTCTAGCCGCCACGCATATAAAGGATTTATAGTGAAAAACTTTGTTTTTACGGGTTATACTTATTATCCTTTGTCAATCCACTGCTGGAAGAACGTCTTCCCACGCCATGTCGATCATGGGAGTTTATTTGATCAGACTTCACGGCGCTGGTCAGTGCGGGTCGGTAAATCTTTGGGGACCGAGGCCAGTTCAGATATTACTCGCCACCCATGTTAGCCATGGCCGCGAATCAATTTCAGGTTTCCAGGTGCACAGTGCAGTGTGCTAACCACTGCACCACCACTCCTCTCAGCCGTCTGTCTTCACGCTGCATTTGCTTTTGCTACGAGCACAAAAAAACGATGGCGTCAGTATCATCATAAATGGACGTTTCTATGATGTGTCAACAAAGAATAATCCCAAATCCACACGGGGCGAGCAGTTAACTGTGGGATTATGTTTCAGCAACTGACTTTACTGGGCCATACGAAGTGATCTTATTGGGGAGCTTTATGCTATAGGCAACGGCTATATAAATACAGCTAGCAGAGAAATGTGCTATACTGTGCATAGCTGAGCCGTTGTCAAAGAGCGTCTTACACAACAGAAACGTAAACCAGTTTTCTTTGTTTATGTTGACTTCCCTTTCAAGGCATCACAATCACCTGCTACGTTTGCGTGCGAAGCTTAGTGCTTTGCTACGACTGATCATGCCCTACAGCACAATTTGGCGAACAAGCCTTTGAGAGGTGTATGGTCAAACTGGTCAGGGGAAGGACCTGATCTTGGGATGATGTTGGGATTGCCGGAATCACGCTTGGAACCTGCGAAGCCACTATCCACGATGCATGCATGAGACGGATTGTTATAGGCTGCTCCTGCAGAGCTATGTGGTGGGCAGCAGAGGGCAGTGCAGCGAAATCCGTTGCCCTAGTGTACTGAGTGCTGCTAATAGCTCAGTAGGCTTCACCGGGTAAAATAAAAAGTAGTTCGGTTTTATTTGTGAATATGTTAAGTGATTTCTCTTCTTGGTTCTTTCGGTAAAGTCACGTAGAAGGGAAGAAATAAAATAAAAAAAACATAATAAAATAATTCTCACGACGTTTCGGCCACAACGCAAGCAGCCGTCCTCAGGTGAAGACCAGGTCTGATGCTGTCTCCCTGACAGACCTGGTAATAAAATAATTCTCACGACGTTTCGGCCACAATGCAAGCAGCCGTCCTCAGGTGAAGACCAGGTCTGACGCTGTCTCCCCGACAGACCTGGTAATAAAATAATTCTCACGACGTTTCGGCCACAACGCAAGCAGCCGTCCTCAGGTGAAGACCAGGTCTGACGCTGTCTCCCCGACAGACCTGGTCTTCACCTGAGGACGGCTGCTTGCGTTGTGGCCGAAACGTCATGAGAATTATTTTATTATGTTTTATCTTTATTATTTTATTACTTCCCTTCTACGTGACTTTACCGAAAGAACCAAGAAGATGAATCCCTGCAGTCACGAAAGCTTTAAATCGAAATGTTTAGTGATTTGTTTACCTTTTCTATACTTTGCACTCCGATTGTAACGTTCTGACCTGCTCCTACTGGACATCTGTGAAAAAGAGCTTTATAGCTCATTAGATTCCTCCTCCAGTATAAATAAATATCCAGATTCGGATTGTATGCAACCAGCCGTCAATGGGTCAAATAACCCCCAAGACCCACTCGGCATGGGGAGGTCCCTAATCCAACAATGGAATGACAAACGAGTTATATATGTGCATGCTTAATAATCCTTGTGACTCATTCGAGAATAATATCGCTGCGGGGAGATGGACTAATTTTTGTCATTATCCAATGGCATACAATGGGGTTTGTGTGGCTTTCAATATATAACATTTGCCTATGTCTGCCAACATAACAGCATCGTCATCCATGATCGATCCACCGCTGGATGAAGGCTTTTCCCCAGCCGTTGGCATCTCTCACGCGATGTAACAATCCTACTAACTCGCACACGAGCTGATTGTGTCGCTCCATCTCCACGGTGGACGAATTTGCGTATTATTCCCATTATTGGCCGCCGTTCCATCGTTACTCCAGTACTGTACTCTTTTATACGTAACGTAACATCATTGGCTTAATAGGGATCTATCTGCTCATGCCAGATGGGTGCTAATGTGAAAAAGAGAATGGGCTGAAGTACATCCACCTTAATCAATACAAACGTCTTGTGAATCTAAGTGAATACTCAGCAGCAATATAACATTTGTCAACACGGGCAATATCTAGCAAGCCAATGTAACGTGTAAACGCTGAATATATATTGAACATATATATAATTTAACATAGTGTACGTTTCATTCAGGCAGTAAACAATGTAACACTTCTAAAGTAATTAATTAATTGCAAGTTTCTAATTATAAAAATTAGAAAAATAAACAAAATCTACATTCACAAGTTCGGTATATATCTTAATATTGATGCAATGTCGAAGTAAATTCATGAGACTTTCCCCATCCACTGTTGGATATCGGACTACCAGTGTTACCAAACCCTGGCTGGTTTTGTCAAATAAAAGCCGACTGATAATGTGATCACCTGATTTTATCGCAGCATCATCATCATCCCATCACCGCTTTTATCGGTCATGTTTTAATCTCTCCTAGCAACATGTTCTGCCGAGGTCTGCATCGTGTACGTATTATTCGTGATCATGAGCGTGTGAGTGACGTCAATTCTACCCATGTTCCAGAAGGGTCAGCATGCTGACATTTAGCGGAGAGATGTTAGCAAATTAAATAAGCAGACAATACGTCTTCATCTCATATCCATCTCTCCACGTAAACGTATATCGTTCGGAATCAATCAGCTGCACGGCCTTCTAGTACCGCATATTTTTTGCAGTACCCATTCAAGACAAGCAAAACTCTGGATCGGTTTTGACACGTAGTGTCTCATCAGCGGAGTTGTCCGCTTATTTATTTAGCTATTTATATTCTCCCCAATGACACAAAAAAAGATAAACGTCTATTCTTTATTGTAGGAAAAACACAAAATTATATATTTTTTCGACTTTGGGCACCCCCAAAGAGTTGCAGTACGAAGATGAATTGCATCATTAGACCTCCTTTGCCAGTACCACAATAGAATAATAGGGGTTTTCCCCTTTTTCTGGCAACAAAACTGAAACCTTTTTACAGGGAATCATGTCAGCATTAACCGCAATACTTGTAGTCAAAATGCAAAAAAAAACACTTTGATAATATATGCATTGTCCTTGAAACTGATTTGTCCACACCAGAGACGGCTTTCTTTTGAGCCTCCTCTCAATTGGTGCTAGACCAGAGGACGCCAAAAGGCGCACAGCACAAAGACAATGCCACTATCAAAGTAATGAGGGCTCGGGGTAAGCATCTACATCATTAGACCTCATTTGCCAGTACCAAAATATAATAATAGGGTTTTTCCCATTTTTTATGGCAACAAAACTGAAACCTTTTTACAAGGAATCATGTGTGCATTAGCCACAATACTTGTGGTCAAAATGCAAACAAAGGTGAATTCGTTTCTCACTGGGTAGAGTCAACAGAAGGGTGTGCACGGCTTTAAGTATTGTGCTAACTATTTGCAAATGTAAGATCTGCTTGAATGGTGAACCGAACCATTTGGCTCCTTTGATGCCACACTATAGCCAGTAGCAGTTGAAGTCCACAGTCGATAGTATACATGTAGACAACCAACCGCCTGTCCTCACTGGGTTCTCAATGCGGTGTTACGCTTGTAACATGTTCTGTTTATTTAAGTTAAAATGGTTTGCAAAGCCAAATACGAGGATAAAAAAAAATCCCCCTTAATGTTTAAAGACAATCTAATTTTGCCACAGGAAACACGAAGGATAAATCATTATTTATATTAATCAAATAATTTCTCAAATTTCTAATTGTAAAAAAAAACAGGTATTGCTCGAGGTTCCATAGCAAACAATCATAGCAAACGCTGCTCGAGTCATCTCTCTTAAACACAAACTGATGGCTTATGGGTGAGGCTATATGGAGTAGATCTAATATTAAATTATTTCGGCCATTTGGTTGGAAAACCTACTGCACGTGGATATGTGCGGTGGTGAAAAAAACCCGACTTATCGGCACACAGCACGCAGTGTCATTAAACATAACAAAAAAACACAGTCGGAAAATGGACTTGTGGAAGAACCAGTTGGGCTGCAAAAATGTTCCTGCCCAGGGCAGCTAACAATGGGAACCATGCAACCTGTGTTTACCCACTCGCTCTTACGTATTTCCCCTGCCCTGCCAAACCAAACCATCCAGCAAAGAGAGATAGCCGGCTGACGCCCCACCTCAGTTATATTCCCGACGCCGTTTGCAGCACGACGTCTCTGAGACTCGGTCGGTCTTACGAAAAGAAGAGCATCGCCACCCATCACCACCAGCTCTGAAAACATCGCTGCGTGTGCGGCTAGAGCTGGGAGATTTTTTTTTGGGGTGCTGCTACTACTGTTGCTACTGCTGGAGACGACGGGACGCCATGTATCGGCCGTGAAGCTCGAGTTTGCGTGGAGAAAGAGGAACGCGATTTCTATTCTGCCGCTTCTCTTTCGTCGCCTTCAGTCACAACTACGGGGAACTTTGAACCCAACGTGTTTGAAACCTACAGCAGCAGCAGCTTCCCACCGTTCCAACTGTTCACATCAATGTTACTTCTCAAGACACGCCTGTGTATAGATTTCCCTTGGTGAGTTTTCATTTATTTCGTATTCTATTAAGTACGGTAGTTTTAACTGGTTATGTTTTTTTCCGGTTTGCTTGATCTCTTGTTTGTAAAACACAGTAACATGTCCGTTCCCACTTCACTTTAATATTTACACAACATAGAACGTTCACTCGGGCACATGCCATCTCGAGACACAGCTACAAGTACTGCCACAGGTCTGTGGAGTGTGATACTTTCATGTGATCTCTGTGTTAAAGGCTGGACTCTTAATCTTAGGAGCAAGCCTGAAGTGTCACAAGTCGTTGCAAACAAACCCACACTTGTTTTTATTTACAAATAGGCAGTTCCACAATGTCGCCCACTTTAAAAGCATGGGTAATCATTCGTATGATCACGAAGTTTATTTTCACTTGAGCTTAGTATGTTACTCAATTTAAGACTTTAAGATGAAACATGTCCACCTTTCTTGGTAAGGGACACGGTGTCAGACAGATTCAAACAAACTGATTTCTATGCTATGAAGGACCATTGCCTGAAATGTCGCTGATTATATTTTGGTTTTAAAGCCACAGTGCTATTGGCAAACGTGTTGAGTGTTTAAAACAAAAATATACGTATTTCCACATGCCGGGAAGATCGACGAAATTTAGTTTGCACACGTGTCAAACTATTAACGTACACCAAGGCCGTAATTATAATATATTGGGGGGGGGGGGGGCACATCCCTCCCCCCCCCAATATTCTAATGTGCTCAAAATGTCCCCCCCAATATATTGCGATAAAAAATTATTGCTATGCTGTAAATAAAAACAACAATTTGCTAAACCTTGGCCACAATATCTGGACTTGTCTTAATATAAATCAATGCATAGATTTCTGCTTATATGATTTAGGTTATGGTTGTACTTTATTAATCCCGAATCTCTGCCATGACATACAATGAAACAAGAAATGGTAAAAAAAGTAAAAACAGAGCAATGTAATACAATACACTATTAGACATTATTGTAAAAATAGTCCATCCTATGTGTTAATGCATTTTTTTTTATATTTTAGGCAGGAAATAAGTTTTCAAATGTAGATATTTTTCTGGGTTGGGACCCCCAGACACCCTGGAAGATTTGGTCCCCCCCAATGTTGACTCCATGGCTACGGCCTTTACGTACTCTGTTATTAAGTCATTCTATGACATCGATAGATAACCTTTAAAATGATACCACTAGTGCAGGATTGATTTTTTTAATTTTGACTTTGGGTGCCTAATTTGTGTAAATGCAAGATTCACTCAACTTGAGTGAACTTATTGTTAGTAATCGTTCTCAGATTAACGAGTAACTATGTATTAAAAATATAATTTTACTGTAAATGTAAACACTTAGCCGGGCGTATGACGTAACACAACATGAGTCATATGTTTGAATAGTGGGCATCACATATTTCCTTGATTTAATGAGAAACTCGTTTATCAGAGCTATCTTTAAAATGTAGGCTTTCGCGACCAATATTATTCATAATATAGGTTTTTGGGTAAGGTCGCGTTATTTATAAATGTGTCGTAACCCTCCACCACCCTCCACCACCCGACACGGCCAAACAGTAAAAAATGTGTTACGTTTTTCAAAGGACAAAATAATTCACTTTTTTAGCCCACCGGTGTGTTGAAGAGATAATCAACAGCATTTTAAAATTTGAGTACGACGCATTTATAAATAACGCGATCTGACCCAAACACCTATATTTAGGAGAGCTACCTTTGTCTGCCTTTACAATCAGTTATTTTTTGTTTAAATTTTCAATACACCATTTTCACAAGTTAAATTCTAGTCGTTGTTTTTTTTATAAACGGTTGCCCAACAGAAATCAAGCCGCGTACAGTTGCAAAATAAGTGCGGCTACATTTGTAACTATCTGCTGCGGCTCACAAAGTTTCCTCCTCCCGTATTTCCCCATCGATATTTCCTTCCCACCCCCACCTCGTTTCACCCACCAAAACATTTCTGCTGAGCGTGTGGTCAAACGTCGTCATGTTTTTCCCCGAACAAGTTTCCCCACCTTCGTTACGGCAAAATAAAATAGGAACGAAATGGCAGGATTCGTTCTTTCTTTTTAAACGCATTCACGGCGGATAAACTCCATCAACAAAAATGCAGAACGATAATGCACCGGGGTCTGGGGGGGAGGGGGGCAGCCGCGATCGATGACGCAAAGACGCACATGATCGAAGCTGGAAAGAACGGCACCGGGTTTAAATTAAAACTGCAAAGTGTACGGCGGCATCGCGTGCATAGAGGGCAAAGACTGATAGCTTTCGCATAGAACTCCCTGAGAATCACAGGCCGACTCATTGCACTACACCCGGGGAGTTTAAAATGAGCCCAGAGCAATACCAATTTCTATTTAGGCCCTCCGATACAGCAATGTGGAAATTGGGTTGTATTTTACCCTTGGACTCGACTGGTCTGCAACAAAATAATTACCTTTGCCTGTCAGCCGCATTGCAGGAGCACGGCCTTCACCCGTGCCTTTGGTGTAAGCCATTTGCAGAAAGGATTAAAGTAAAAAACAGAACAGCGGGGTTATTTCCTAGGGTATAAATCAACTCCAAATTAAATTCACACGCATCTTTCAAAATCAATAATGACCCAGAAACTATAAGGCCAGTGTGCCTATCGCATTACCAAGTGTTAGAAGAAATACGTTTTTCAAGCTGCTTTAGAAGCTATCTGTGTTAGGCAATGAACCAGTGGACAAGCCTAACTGAATGTCACTTTGATGTAGCTGGGCAAGTATAGTGGCTGCTATGTTGAAGCTCGCCATATCCATTTTCAGACCAGTTTGTTTAAACTTCTTGGTTCTTTCGGTAAAGTCACGTAGAAGGGAAGTAATAAAATAATAAAAATAAAACATAAAAAAAAAATTGTGAGAATTATTTTATTTTATTATGTTTTATTTTTATTATTTTATTACTTCCCTTCTACGTGACTTTACCGAAAGAACCAAGAAGATGAATCCCTGCAGTCACGAAAGCTTTAAATCGAAACAGTTTGTTTAAGTCAACAAAGATGTCCCGTGTAACTTTACAGGATTATTGGGGTATGGGAGCACCTATTAAGGGTGGAATTGCGCACTGAGGAGTTGTGGGACCAGTGATGATGTTTATACTCTGCACCAGGTTACCATTAAGGTTGAGTCAACCTAGGGCAAGTCTATGAAAAGGTCAAAAAGTAGTTGCCACTCGAAGTGACATCTATCGCAGGTTGACTGACGGGATTGTAGCGCAGTTTGCTAACCGCATGGCATGGACAAGCAACTGCTTGTTGCACATGTTTGACTGCTTGTTGCACTGGTTCACGGTTTGAGCCCAGCGGCCACCCTGGTCAATACTATAGGTGTATTAATCATTATTAGACACCATTTGCTTCACAGTAACCATTAAAGATTATATGATGTTATAAGAAAAGGCCGTGTGTGCTGGCGTCATGGTCGAGATTGACCACGATTGGGTAAAAGCTACACGGTAACATCAGTCCCTACTGTGAATCTACTGCAAACTATAATCGCCTGTGAAACATTGCAGCTTCATGATATTATAGTCTTGTGCTATACTCATGGTGTGAACACCAAACATACCGTGGCTTGAACGCACAGAAAGCCGGACTACTAAATGCCATTACGTTTAGTGCCATTACTCAAACTCGGGTTGCTGGGTTCGTAGTTCAGCGCGAACCACGACTGCAACTACTTTGGACAAAACACACGCACGCACACACTCCATGTCCACGCACTTGCACAATCATTGTCGTCATTGTGACCTCATGCCATCTGACTTCTAAAAAAAGGTGGAGGGGCAACAATAGTTAAACCGACTGTATAGTTGTGGGCGTTTTGCAATGCCAGTTTTCTTTCTCTCTCAAAACATATTATATGGCTAAACTTGCTCCGTGATTTTGAAGCTATTTAAAAATCCCAAATAACAAGGCACACCTCCCTCAACCCCTGCAGTTAAACGGCACAGATGCCAGGCACCACCCCAGAGAGAAATGCTGCACAGTTTGTTCGGACACCTGACAACCGTTTGTGACATTCAGGCAGATTTACGACGAAATTTAATCCTGCAATGAACTACTGTAGCCATGCAAAGCATCCCTGGGTGGTGCTATTCAGAAATTACCGTACTCGGAACTCAATAAGCCATTGCGCAATCAGAACCAGCTCAAACGAAGCCAAAGCAAACAAATGTTTTCAAACTTCAACTAAAAAGATGTCGTTTGTGCCAGCGTCATTCTTGATATGTCTTGGAACAGAGTTGCAGAGGCAGGGAGCATGGCAACTGTAAAGGTCTTCGACTCTCCTGACTTTAGACGAAATCTAAGAATGAACAATAGTCCAGAACTTGCTGATCTCAAAGAGTGATGAGGTGCATAAGGCATCAGCAGTTCCTGTAAATATTAAGGCACAATATTGTGAAGGTCTTCATAAATAGTAAGCATACCTTTTGTTCCATCAATCTTAAAGACAGTGCAATTATTTGTAAATTCGAGTAATATGTTGTAACATCAGATCTCGGAAGCTAAGCAGAGTTTCACCTGGTTAGTACTTGGATGGGAGACTTCCTGGGGATAACCAGGTATTGAAGGCTTGGGTTAGGAGGTTATCCAAAGTTGGCAATACAGAAATTCATGATGAGTGTTTTATGTCATCGTATGCATGGGGGTTTCTCCGGGTACTCCGGTTTCCTCCCACATGCCAAACAATCGGTAACGCAATTGGCCAAACATTGCGATACAGGACCCTCTTGAAAAAGAGTGTGACTCAGTGAGGCTTTCCTGTGGAAACAAATTACATTACCATCAGCACTTAGCGCTCCCAGTTTTCTTCACGCAAAGAGTTTGTCTTCAAGTGTTACATCTTTCTCTTCATCTGGGAGACAGTCTAATTCCTGGGCAACAGTGTTTTTGTTTTGCCAGAGATCTGCATCACATTCTTTCACTTATTTTCAATGAAGGATGGCAGCAACTTGTAGAGGCCTTCATCCAGCAGCAAATTGAGATTTGCAGTTGATGAAGATATATTTTCGTGATAAGAGGCCTTAACTCTGTCCCCCATAACTCAGTCCCTCCCCCCGCCACAAAAAAAGAACTGCTACTTGGCCATACCCAATGAAACTGGTGACATCTGGCAGTAGTCATACATTAATAACCACGTGGAAACAAAAGCACGAGACATGGTGACGGTGGTGCACTTCAGTTCACGTCCTGCTCACTTGAACCTCAGCTGTCAGTACCTGCTGTTGAAACCAAACCACGCCGAACGAGCCTGACCCAAACTAGGTTCGGTGTGTTCCAATGTGCACAGTCACATGCCCGCTGTCTGCTGGCTAACCATGCTGGTGAAGTATCCTGTGAGCGAACATGGGTAAAAACGTACTTATGTGATTCTAGTAATTCATTTCTGAATGTGCCATCTTCTGACTACCTCGAATCTTGACCTTAACAACTAATATTAATCGATGTATCATTACATCTCTCTTAAAACCGCGCGAGTATCACCGCAGTGTCATCACAACAGTGCTCCTGTATTTTTAAAAGTTTTACTCACGGAATAAATATTGTACTTACATGGGAAATATACCTTAAGAGGAGAGCTCTGTCAATACACCCTAAAATGGGGAAGGGGGGGGTGCATGATAACTGAACTAATGATACAATATGATCCTAACTTTAGTGTAAACATGTAATCTCCAGCGAAACGCTTATCTTCAAGATGTGTACATATAGATAACCTGCTATGACATGGATTACAAAATGGACAATGACAAAGAAATTGGATCAAAAGCTATGCAATGAAAAGATCCTCGTATAACCATAACAAACATTTGGGGCAAGAGCTGTTAGCGAGCAACTATGAAAGCCGAAACGGCACACGACGGGGTGGGTGGCCAGCACCACGCCCGACCGCCTTTGTTTCCCAAGGGGCGATGTTATTAGACACCACACCAGGTACTAATTTTGAGGCTGAGTCGACCTTAGGGGAGGCCCAGGACTGGTTCAGATAAACGTCACTAGTGTTGGCCGTGATTCAGAATGGAACTCGGGTCCCCGGGTTCGCAACGCAGTGCACTAACCGCTACGCCACCACTACGCCACCGCTCCCGTCAAGACAGCGATAGGCATGCACCTGGTTACACAGGTCTGCTGATCACCACAACAAACAAAATGTGTCAGAATAGGGCTATAATGAAAAGCACAATGCCAGTAGTTACAGTAATTGGTACACTCCACCAGATAACAAGTTCAATAAACGGCTTGGCCTAAACATCGACCGCAGTCATAAAACTAAAGGACAAAACCTGTAGTCATAACTGCAAAGCTATTTTGAGAGCTTGTACCCAGGGAACCGTGTGTTTTACAAACAGGTTGAATTTTGCTCAAGGTTCCTTTGATAGTTGCTAAGCATGAGGTAACCCCCAGCTGAAGATGTCATACGTAATTGTCCTGCAATGGATTGATCCAAGAAAGCCTAATAGAGTCTCAAAACACTTTCAAGAGGGTCCTGCATTGGTACATTTGGCCAATGACGCAATTATAAAGCTATAACCCGCAATGACTATACTTGTTGTTGCTATCATCATCATCAGCAGCAGCTATACTCTATTCACTGCTCGATGAAGGCCTCTTCACGCTGTCACCATCTCCCATGGTCTTGTGATGCAATGATCCCGTCTCGCTCCTACACACAACCTGAGCTCAGCGCTCCTTCTCTGCAGTGGACTTCCTCTCGGCATATTCTCTCCTTTGACTGCCATTCCGTTATCAGTCTCAACCGCCTGCCATTAGTTCTTCTTGCGACTTGTCCTGCCCACTTACGTTAAAATAAATATTTTTAATTTGTTTTCTGATCCTTATGTTCCCATGTATATCTCCCCGTGTAATTCCAGAGCATAACACCTCGTATGACTTCTTTGCATAGTTTTCAGCTTTTGATCCAATTTCTTTGTCACTGTCCATATATATACACACACACTGATTAAACGTTGGTATGTGTTAAATGAACTTTGAATGCAAACAAATGATAAAGAATTAAATAATAAATATCATAAATGGGGAATTTAACATGTATCAAATATAAATGTGGAACTCTGGAAGGAAACATGGTGATTGTTGTAGATATGATTTGGCAAAAAAATAGTCATGCTGGGTGGGACATGTGTGCAGGATGGGAGAGGGCCAGTTAGATAGATGGGCATTAGAGAGGTCTCCATCAGTCTTGTAATCAAGGGGAAGAGCTAAGAGGAGATGGTGGGAAACAGTTGGGGGTGGGTTTTGGAGGTCCCATGTCAACTGTGCAGCAGCTGTCGGATCTGGCAGAAGGTAGAAAGCGAAGTGTGTGGCGGTGCCATCAATGGGTTTGGCCATGATGACATCTTGATCTTGAAATAATGATCATTAATGAGAATTTTAAATATATTTTGCTCCCCCCCCACCCCCAAACAGACCCCTGGACTGATCTGGGAGGCAGGGCAGGCGAGCGGCTGTGCTTAAAGCAACAGGATGAAAGACAGATTGCAAGAGCTTATTACAATATCGCACAAGACCGAAGATGAGAAATCGGTCGTGGATGACGAAGTCGACAGCAGGCAGGAATCCGTCATCTTTGAGCATGAATCCCCCATCCCAGCCCTGCACGAGGTGAGGCACTCAATACAACAGGTGTTGTGAGGTGGCTGGGTGGCCCGGATGCTCATCCTGTCCCCGCATCACGCCAACACTACCCGGATCTTGGGTGTGAATGAGCAAACCGCCCACGATTAATCCAGGTTCTCAAGCGTTGTGGGTCGACCGTCTCAGCCTGGGTCACAACGAGCTTTGAAGGTTACAGCCATTTCGATGATGACCTCGTAAACAAACTTTCTCATTCTAGATTTGAAGCCTTCGTGACTGCAAGGATTCATATTCTTAGGTTTTTTCAGGTAAAGTCACGTAGGTAAAAAATAATCAAAGTAAAGCTTGTGTTGCCTCCGCAACGTCGTTATTTTTATTTTATTTTACTTTTATTAATTTAAATGTTTTACCTACGTGACTTTACCAAAAAAACCTAAGAATATGAAACTTTCTCATCTCTGTCGTTTGTACCAAATTAGCTACTGCTCAGCAATGAACGCAAATCTAGCTTGACCACCTGATTGTGAAATTGTACTTATTGCTCTGCATCGACATCAGTCATGCGACAGAAGGATGACGGAAAGTAATCGAGACGGAATGAATGTTGCATGCTGGCAGATGATGAAAATAAACTAAAGGAAAGTGAGTGCGTTCAATACTGGGAGAAGATACAAATATTCCAGTGAAGTTGGTCTTTGATCAGACAGTCAAGTGGCAATTCCAGTTTACAATAGTGGAATGTAGCTTTGTTCTGCCAAAAAAGCCACAGGCATGTTTTAAAAATAGGATGAAAAAGTAAATGAACATAAATCTATAGTTACGGCCAGACATTCTGCATGAGTGTTATCATAGATCCAGCAAAGTGTACTGTGGCTTGTTAGTTTGTGACACAATAATAAGGCTGTAGTTTCAAAGGCAAATTTGGTGTCAACTCAGCCAAATTATCCCTCAGGGAGCTGAACGAATAAGCACCACTTTGTCAAAAGTCAATATTGGTTATTCTATGGAGAGACCGAGCTCAAACTGAAATACATTTTTATGTTTCCACAACAGGCTCAGGGCCACCATAATTGCCACCCAATGCTTGTTTGGCTGTGGACACGCTATGACTATGACGGCACACACCATGCTGCCACCGAGCTTTTTACCAGGTCCTCTAAAACAGCAGTGGCGAACATTAAGCCCACAGGCTGGGCGAGGCGCACGACTTAATTTCATCCGGCCCATGGGCAAATGAGCCCTAGCACTTTAAAACGACCCGCAAATGATATTTACCTGTCATTTCAAACATCTATGTCACACTAATCGGGTACTAGAGGAGACTGTTTTTTGACCTGGTAAACAACACTGTTTCTAATTTCAGCATGCCCAGTCACGTGTGCGACTGCAACGGCCTCTTGCAACGGCCTTTTGGCAGTGGCAGATAGTGGCCGAGGTGTGTCTGCTAATGTGTGGCCTGGCCAAATTGTATTTGAAACTCTTGCCGTGTTCTTCGGATTTTAAGACACTCTGGTAAAGCAAGACACACCCCAAACTTGGGTGTCATTTTGAAAATAACAAAACATTTCTAGAGAACACGAAGTCCTGGGAAAGCAGTGAAACAAGGGTATAACATGTGAAGTTGAGAAAATACAGAGCAGGCCGCTGGAACAAAAAAGCGTCTTATAAACCGGAGAATTTGGTATCCGCACTCCGTAAGGGAAGTTGTCCTGTCCTTGCTCTCGAACCTAACACCAGTCCCAGTCGTGCGGCTCCAGGAAACCGAGGCGATCCAAGATGAAATCGAGCGCCTCCAGTCGGACTGTGCGGCGCATGGGCAAGCAGAACGCGCGCTTCCTCACCTCCATGCGGCGTCTCAGCAGCATCAAGCGCGACGCCAACGCGGTGGCGCGCGACGTGCGCCTGCGCGCCGAGCGGCTGCACAAGCGTCTGCAGCTGCTGACTGCCAGCTGCGAGCAGCTCGAGGCGCGGCAAGGGGCACAGTCGGCGGCGGCGCGCATCATCCGCGCGCACGTCAATACCCTCACCCAGCGCTTCCACCAGGCAAGCGCTGCAGGAATCTGATAAGCTTATGAAGCTCTTTTTTTCACAGGTGGATCTTGTATTTCACACTCGTCCAGTAAGTGGATGGACGCGGTAGCCACCCGCTGCCGATCGTGCGCACCCCCCCCCAACCCCGCGTCAAAAAAGGAAGCGCCTCGCGTGTTCGCTCTGCGGTAGCTCGCTGGAATTCACTTGAGGATCTTGCTGATTCCGTCAAGGAGCATAAACCGGTCACGCCAACTCTGGTCATCCTCGCAGCAGCGGCGGCTTTTGACTAGCCATGGAACAAAGACGGGGGTCACCGCACCTGCTCGCCCTCAGATGAGCTTCTTTGGCTGTCTGGAACACTCTTCCTCACGATATCAGGAAGCCACTGGAGCTATGCACTTTTAAAATCTAGATTGGCCAAGTCTTATGGACTTTTTTGTTATCTTGTACACAAGTAGGATACATATTTTGATTTAAAGCTTTCGTGACTGCAGGGATTCATATTCTTGGTTCTTTCGGTAAAGTCACGTAGAAGAGAAAAAATAAAAATATAATAAAATTCTCACAATCAGAATTTCATTTTTTCTATTTTTATTATTTTATTTTTCCCTTCTATGTGACTTTACCGAAAGAACCAAGAATAGAATACATGTTTCAAGGGTGTATACATGTTTATTCATCCTATCAGTTTTTCCAAACACATTTTAGTCAATGAATGTCAATTATTTGACAAAAAAATTGTGAACCATAAACCCAACAGCTGTTATATCGTGAACTTGGCTCAACACAGTGGAATTCATTACATCTGAAAAGAGCTTCAAAATATAGTCAAATCTTTGAAAGTCTGCTTACTAGCCCTGTTTGGCATAGTAAAGGCGTTGCCAATTAAGGTGTGGCTGCCAGGTATCCCATACTTGCTAAACTTGCTGTGGACAGTGCTGATCTGATCGCCCTAAAACCCTAGCGCAGTCCATTCAAAAGTGGCCTTAGCGCTGAGCACCTAAAAGGGGAAGGTGTGGTTCATGCATGACGTCAACTGAGCAAATATGTCTAAATGAAACACGTGTTTGGACACCGTGCGTTTGAAGTTGTGATGCACTACACAGCCACTCCCTAACCATGAGATCAACAAGCAAGGGTCTCCGCGTGTGAACGTCATACCCAGGGATTAATGTTAGCTGGGTCTGTCCGGGTCAGTGACCCGGAAAATATTTCCACACCCGACAACACCGCATTCCATGTATGCCTCTCACCTATGGCTTTGGATAGCACTCGCCACACGTGCCACCTACTAAAGTCTAATGGTGACCCAAAAAATATTCGGTGAAATGTTAAGCCCTTATCGTACATGAGTGGGAAGGGTAGCTCAGCGTCAGTAGTGTCAGAGAAACTGAGCAAGCACCACCGAGATTGTTTCAGAATCCGGGTTTCAGACACCCATAGTTAAACCGGTACAGCGAGAGTTGACTTTCAGCCTGGCTACACAATGTCTGTGATAAAACACGATGCTCTATTGCCTTTTTTTTACTTAATTTGAATAATTTAAACTAAGAATAAACTTGTGGTTTGATTGACATGAAAAAAATACACTTTGCAGCGCATATAACAGGTATATTCCTCTAGTGGATAGAGGGCCTACTGCAGCAGTAGTTCTGTGGCTATTCTTTGAGCATGTTGGTGATCTAGCTGCGAGCATTTCCTAATGGAGAATTTCTTTCTTGCATGCCACGGCTGCGACGATAGCACAAGTGGAATATAAACGAGGTGGGAAAAAAAACATGCATGTGGACGGGAGTCATCTTTACGAGAGTTTTGTGCCTCCCTGTGACAGACAGGCTGACGGAGCATACGCACAGATGACTTCACGCTTAGCTGGAGAGCGTGACTGAGAATAGGAATAATTATTAACTACTGTCAATTTACTGCTAGATTAAAGTCTCCCCCCTCCCCCACAAATTTTCGTGATTGGTGTTGTCTGACCATAATTCACTATGCAGGTCAGTGCGGGTTGGTGATGAAGTGGGGTGGTCAGGACCATTGTACTCTCGACTGATGTTAGCCATCGTCGCGAATTATCTTTTTTTCCCCATCATGTAATTTTTTGGGAGTACTGTAGAAACATTTGTAGACAGAGGAAAAGAGCGTGTATTGAAGGGGGAGGAATTTCACACGATAGGGCACAAAAAAGGAGAAAGAAAAAAAACCTCCCACGAGGCAAAAGTTGACTGGCGGTTTCAGCACAGCGGTGCCGCGTCCCCAATAGGCATGTAACGGCGAGAAAAATAAATAACAAAAAATGTCACGACCCCACACCCTACAGGTGATGCTGGAATACAACGCAGCAGAGATAGCGCAGCGGGAAAACTGCAAGCGGCGCATCGCCCGGCAGCTGGAGATCCTGGGCTCGCAGCCGGCGTCGGACGCTGAGCTGGAAGAACGCATCGAGCAGGGCAACTGGGAGGTGTTTGCCATGGGCATTCCTTGGGGAGACGCGCTCCGCCAAGGCAGCCCTCAACGAGATCGAGCAGCGCCACCAGGAGCTACTCAAGCTGGAGCAGCGGCTGCGCGAAGTCCACGATCTCTTCTTGCAAGTGCGTGGCGCACGACCCTCTTACGGGCTCCCAAGTGTGTGTGTGACCTCATGTGTAGGCGTCTAAAATGGGTTGCCGCGGTGGCAAGATGTTAACCATGTCGCCTGGTATACGGGAGGTCGTGGGTTCGATCCCAACCCTGACGCCTGTATATTTGGAGTTTGCATGTTCTCCCTGTGGTCACGTGGAATTTTCTCAGGGTCCTCCGGTTTTTCCCTCCCCGTTCAGAATTGACATGCGTTTAGAGTATTTGGCCGCTATAAATATCCACGCGATAAGCCCACTTCGTTTAATTATCATTTGTGATAGCCAGGTCGCTTCTGAAAAGAAGCTTTATAGTTCAGTGGGCCTTAGCCGGTAAAATAAAAATAGTAATAGTTACCTCTGGCAGTGCCCAGTGTGAGCCAATACAGTTGTCCTTTGTGTGATCTCCTTTAGGTCCCGTTAAATCACTTTAAAAGTGTGGCCCTGTTCCTCCCGAAAGGGCCAGGTCCTCTCACGCCTCCAATGTTGTTTGTGTCTACTTATTGCTTACTGCCAGGGCTAAGAGCGAAGGTGGATAGTAAATTATTAGCGGCATTGCTTCCAATGTTCAGGTATTCATTATTGAGTCCTGTTTAATTTGATTTGGCATCCTCAAAAACAATTGAATGTCGATGCATATTAATCCTAACTGTATTTTAAATGACATCAGATGAACAATGGGTAGATAAGTCAATTCATCAGGAGTGTACATAAACAGTAATGTATGTATGTTGAACTTCTTTCACACTGTACGTAGCCAACCGTACTAATCGGATGTGCATATTATGATCTGCAGGTAGTAATTGTTTAAATGTCTTGAAATAAAACAATTAAGAAATTAACTAAATCATAAATGAGCGGACAGCACTATACCTCGCAACATACAAATACAATTAGCGTTTAGTTCCTCATTCTCTTATCCCACTAGACCAATATTTTTGACCAGCATTTGCTTAAGCAGAAATTCCTTTACCGGTTTCGATTCGCATAGTCTCATCAGCCAAGTAACTCTTAGTTGTTTGCCCCCCCCCCACCCCATTCCCACTCACCCTTAGATGGCACTGCTGGTGGAAGAGCAGGGCGAGATGGTCAACAACATCGAGAACACGGTGACCAACACGCAGGACTACATCGCGCAGGCCAACGAGACTTTCCAGAAGGCCATCAAGTACCAGAACCGGAACCCGTTCCGGAAACTGTTGCGCTGCTGCTGTTGCTGCTGCTACAGTTAACACCTGCCCTCCTCCACTACGTTATCTACGCTTTTAGCTGACCCCGCGGAAGATCGGATCACGCCCCCAACCTTCCACTGACATTGTCTGCTGCGAATTCTGCCTGTCTCCCACGTGCTGACTTACAACCTTCCCGGCCCGGCAAAAGCTTTTTTCGATTAAGAGTTTGCCGGCTGGTTTCCACGGAATATGTTACTCCAGGATTAATCCACATGTTGAGTATTTCTTCTCTGCAAGCGTCGCCATGCACTACCTCTGGAACACTTTCAGGATTTGTTGAAGCTCAACTCCTGAAGGTGCCCCGCAGTAGTGCTGCAAAATCTCAAAAGAATAAAATCTCAATGCGCGGCCTAACCCAGAAGACCACTGCTTGGATTACGATTTTCTGCAGAAGTCTGCGTGCTAATTAGTATGCTTAATTGTTAACTCAGTTTTACCCCCCTGAGTGCATGTTTGTCTGAAGCAGAAACGTTCATGCTTAATTACTGCATGCATTCATCACGCACTTGTGGGAAATTGGATGCCTGCTTAGCTGCAGGGCCACATCAATCATTTCCTCTTTGGCAGTAGGCGACGACCGTCGCGCAATGCAGTTGTCGCCGTAAATGTTTTCAAGATAAAGTGTGTTTGTCATGCAGAGTAACTATTACCAGGTCAACTTGACTGTCAACAAAAAGGACGACGTAGCTGTGCAATTCTAGGAATTTCTATGCAGTCAAACTGAATCCACATTAACAGTTGAATGTTTGAAAAATCCAACATTATATATGTATATATTTTTTTAATGAAATGCTAAAAAGAAAAAAATAGAAAAAAATATCAAATGCAGACTGGCTAAGCCTTACTGGAAGAATCAATCTGTCAGTGTCCATTTCACATGTATGCTTTGTGTTGTTTAATATAGCCTTATTAAAGATGTGAGGAAGATATTGCTTGTACTATCTTTAGATGAGTTGTAATAAAGGTTTAATTTAAGAACTGCAATGTTAAATAATTCCTGTCCACTTGGATTAACTCCTTCTGAGCTCAGCTCTGCTGGCTTATCACACCAACAGCAGATGCACACTGCATTTAAACTAATTGATTCAAACAAATGTTCAGAGATTTACCAACTTTTAGTTAGGTCCACTGCCCATCACATCCTGGTTCTTTAACATTGGAAAAGTTCATAATCACTTGCTTATTATCTTGGCATCACTTGCTCAAGGTTCATAATAATGTGGCATCACATGCTTAAGCAAGTTGAGTGAGTGCACCAACAGTGAAGATCTCACACTGCTAAGCTTCTGATAAGGGATTTACAAATAAAGGCATGTGTTCATTGGTTTTGTTGGCGCCCAAACAGGTTGTCAGTTCTTGCCATATTTATTTTTACCATCACTGTATTTTGTACGCTTTCTTGTTATTACCGTAAGAGTTAATTTCTTTTAAAATTAACTGACACAACTCTTTCAACTTATACATGTAAAAACAAATGCAATACCATTCACTGGTAATCATTTTGTTCAGCCTATGCAAAATAAAATAATTCGCACGAACGAAATGGGCACAATGTTATCTTGCTTTTCTTCACACGTTTAACTAACCCCACCTCTGCATCACCACGTAAAAGTAAGCTAGCAACTTGAAGTTGCATTCTACTTTGAGAGTTTTTCCCCCCCAAAACGTTCTTTAGTGTAGAGAGCATTATCGGTGCAACCTATTCAACCTGTTTAATCCAGTGCTGCTGCTGCTCACTATTGGCTTCAGAAAACGCACTGCACGGTACCGTTAATGCAAATTAAAATAGCAATGTGTCATTACCAGTGGGGGAACTCCATTTTCGTACTGCATTCCTTGCTGCATTTAAATCATTGTATGTACATAGCATGCTAACAGTATATGTAACCGTATTTTTCTATTTTACGATCGTGTGAATAAAGTTGTAAAGAAGGAATCCATTCCAACTATTGTCCCTTTTTAAGCACAAATACTAACTTTGCACTCTCAACCCCGGCGACCTCTGTTCGTCTCCATTGGTGACAAGTGATATATTAATACTGGTAGGAACCTCCTGGTTACACCAGCCCACAGGGGATTATTGTGTCCGTCCGTCGTGCAGGGAGGGGCTGGGTGGGGAGGGGAGGGTAGGGAGGCGCTGGGTGGGGAGGGGAGGGTCGGGAGGGGCTGGGTGGGGAGGGGCTGGATGGGGAGGGTGGGGCTGGGTGGGGGGTGGGAGGGGCTGGGTGGGGGGTTGGAGGGGTAGGCTGGGTGGGGAGGGGCTGGTCACCCCGGGGTGCCCTTATAAAACTCAACGTTTAACCTACTCACGCCGGCTTGTGCCCACCCTCACAGTCGGGAATATTTGCGGAATACACCACGCCGCCGTTGACCCTGGCCATTGACCGAGCAACCCAACGTTCCTACCTGCTCCCTCCGCGGGAATGTGTTCATTTGTGAGCCACCCTTTATCCAAACTGCACTCACCAGCGTGAAGTATCAAACAACCGACATGATCGGAAGATGTCGTGAGGCTTTCATCCAGCAGTGTAATGATCAATGGTTAAGATAAAATGGCAAAATATACATGCCTGGCAGGGTTCATCATGAATCCTTGTTCCAGAAGATAACATTTAATAATACCCAGTCAGACTGGCTCAGTTTGCACGCCAAGTTCATAATCACCACATTGATCTGCCTATCATTTTAACTACGGAAATATGTGTTTAAATAGAATGAGAAAGTCTGAAAGAAATGTGAGGAAATGTTCTTATCAGCCTTCACTTGCCTGCCAATCTCACAAAAACAGACTTTGGATTACTTCACGTGAAGTACTGGCAGAGAACGAGATCTCTCATCAACTTCTTGGCAATGATGATGCTGCACATGCAAATAAGGTCATGAATTTCGATTTAAAGCTTTCGTGACTGCAGGGATTCATCTTCTTGGTTCTTTCGGTAAAGTCACGTAGAAGGGAAGTAATAAAATAATAAAAATAAAACATAATAAAATAAAATAATTCTCACGACGTTTCGGCTACAACGCAAGCAGCCGTCTTCAGGTGAAGAATGAGACACTACCAAACTAGGAGCTTATATATAAGCTGCGTTGGGGGTGGAAGAGCGCCTTAACAAAAAGAATGTGCATATGAAGAGGAATTTAGCATATTCATGGGAAATGCGTAGGCGTTGGGCGGGGGGGTGTCAAAGTCATATTATGCCCATGCATTATGCAGGATCAGCAGCACCAAGGGGGGGTGCAGGGATTAGCAGTAACAAAGGAAAGGAATGTTAATGATATGTAGCTGCAGTTACTCAACAACCACGTAGAAAACTAAAGTATAAGATGTGGTTCCAGACATACAGTACCCTGGCGTCTACAAACTAAGTTTCCTCTGTGGTAGCAGTTACATTGGGGAAACCAAACGACATGTCTCGGACCGCATCCGTGAACATAAAGCTGACCTGAAACACGGTAGGACAAACACCTCAGCCGTGGCAGATCACTGTTACAACTCAGTGGGCTCACATGATATTGACTTCTCCAAGACAGAGGTTCTCTGCAAGCCATCTGGCTATCATGAGAGATTCGTTCATGAGGCGATCCACATATACAAACACAGAGACAATTTTAACCGAGAAGATGGATTCTGGCTTAGCAATCATTGGAAGGACGTAATAAACCATTTCGATACACATTAGGGTGTGTAGAATAATACATAGTATTATATTAAAATGTATAAGGTATAGGTTGGTTTACAGCAATACAGTATATAATTTAATTTGGGTTTATCTATGGCAGTATATAGTACGGTATATGCTCGTGTGATGAAAGAGAATAAAGTTTAGATGGAAGCATATTATATAATTTTTACGACGTAGAATTGTAATGTATTACTTGCTGTTAGTAACTCAGCTTATTGTAGAGTATAGTAAGTATACTGATGGTGCTATGCAGTTTATACTTTCGTTTTTTATGTAGTTTATACTTTAGTTTTCTACGTGGTTGTTGAGTAACTGCAGCTACATATCATTAACATTCCTTTCCTTTGTTACTGCTAATCCCTGCACCCCCCCTTGGTGCTGCTGATCCTGCATAATGCATGGGCATAATATGACTTTGACACCCCCCCGCCCAACGCCTACGCATTTCCCATGAATATGCTAAATTCCTCTTCATATGCACATTCTTTTTGTTAAGGCGCTCTTCCACCCCCAACGCAGCTTATATATAAGCTCCTAGTTTGGTAGTGTCTCATTCTTCACCTGAAGACGGCTGCTTGCGTTGTAGCCGAAACGTCGTGAGAATTATTTTATTTTATTATGTTTTATTTTTATTATTTTATTACTTCCCTTCTATGTGACTTTACCGAAAGAACCAAGAAGAAGGTTATGAATATCTCCCCACTGACAAACACATTCCTGCGGAGGGAGCTGGTAGGAACGTAGAGTTGCTCGGTCAATGGCCAGGGTCAACGGCGGCATGGTGTATTCCGCAAATATGCCCGACTGTGAAGCCGGCGTGAGTAGGTTCAACGTTGAGTTTTATAAGGGCACCACGGGGTGACCAGCCCCTCCCCACCCAGCCCCACCCCTCCCACCCCCCACCCAGCCCCACCCTCCCCACCCTCCCCACCCAGCCCCACCCTCCACCCAGCCCCTCCCCACCCTCCCCTCTCCTCCCTCCCCACCCAGCCCCTCCCTGCACGACGGACGGACACAATAATCCCCTGTGGGCTGGTGGAACCAGTGGGTTCCTACCAGTATTAATGTGGACTTCTAGATTTGAAGCTTTCGTGACTGCAAGGATTTATACTCTTTGGATTTTTTCGGTAAAGTCACGTAGGTAAAATACGTTTCTCTATTAGCTCTCTTCACTTACTAGTGACTTAGGCTGTAACGGTTCCACCTGAAGACGGAAGCTTGTGTTGCCTCCGAAACGTCGTGATTCAATTTAGTTGTTTTCATTTATTTTATTTTATTTTTTACCTACGTGACTTTACCGAAAAAAACAAAGAATAATGTGAACCTTATATATATCCACAGCGATGTTTGCTCTGGCTAAATAGACACTACTTCTAGACGCATGGTCATCAGCCATGATCAATCTACTGCTGGATGAAGAAGCACTAAAGCCATCACTAACAGCATCCCACCATCTAACTTGAGGTTTTCTTTGGTCACGAACCACTTCAATGCATGCCTCTGTGGCTTAACATCCTCTGTATCTTGACTCATCACAACTCTCTCTTCACAATGACATCTACAAATTGTTTTTTTTTGCTAAGTTCTGTTCACATTCATAACATTACTCCAATTCCTAGTATCCTCTGCATGCACCTGTATTCAAAGGTCAAATGTGTCTCTATAGCCGTTTTCTTAAATCTGGATATGTTCACAATACATTAATACAGAATTATTTCTGCCTCCAACACCTTAACCCTAAAGTTCACCACTCTACTCTGCCAGTGTTTATGGGGTCCGTCAAACACCTATTGCGCTCACAAAACACATTCCTGCGGAGGGAGCTGGTAGGAACGTTGGGTTGCTCGGTCAATGGCCAGGGTCAACGGCGGCGTGGTGTATTCCGCAAATATGGCCGACTGTGAGGGCGGGCACAAGCCGGCGTGAGTAGGTTAAACGTTGAGTTTTATAAGGGCACCACGGGGTGACCAGCCCCTCCCCACCCAACCCCACCCTTCCGACCCTCCACCCTCCCCACCCAGCCCCTCCCCACCCTCCCCTCTCCACCCAGCTCCACCCCTCACATTTTTGGATCCACGATGGACGGACACAATAATCCCCTGTGGGCTGATGTAACCAGGAGGTTCCTACCAGTATTACAACCTCGATATATAATGTTCTTTCCTACAGACACAATCATTATTCGGCATGTAATGATCATCCTGCCCATAAGTTAATGAATTGTCACAATTCGGTGTCAGAATTCAATGAGCAATTATTTTTCATCTCACTCGTACTGCCTGGATTGTGAAAATATCAGTTTGACAGCCATGTGGTGGTGACCATTATTCTTAGTAGCAGAGCGGGCAGAAAGGTGCTGCCCTTACTTTGTCCACCAGAGGGAGCTGTGTTACATTGTCGTCTGTGGAGCATTCTCTATAACTCTGCACGAGAGTTCCGAATGTACATTTCCGTCTCATGAAATGATAGCCAGCATAATCAAGAACAAAACGGAAATAATTATCGCGAGACTGAGCGATCACGGCAGCAGCTTTGGGAGGCCTGCATCCAGCAGTGGATTGACCATGGCTGATGCCGACCATTACAATAAAAACTGGAACGATGAATGGAAAGGTTGAGAATGCAAGGTAGTGGGACAGTGGCTTATCAAGCTAGCACTGAAGTACGCCACCCAAAAATAACCCTGGTGTCAGTATAGGGGGGCACGACGGTGATAAGATGCTAACTATCTTGCCTGGTATGCAGGTCGTGGGGGCGATCCTGACACCTGTATATGTGGAGTTTGCATGTTCTCCCTGTGATCACGTGGATTTTTCTCCAGGTCCTCTGGGTTTTCCCTTCACATTTAGAATTAACGTGCGTTTAGAGTATTCGGCTGCCATAAATTTCCACGTGATAAGCCGCTTTGTTGAGCTATCATTTGTGGCCACGTCGCTTCTCAGAAATAACTATATAGCTTAGTGGGCCTTACCTGGTAAAATAAAAAAAAATGTGTAGTTTAGTGTGACGTGGAGAGATGTGTGGCGAGTGCGTGCATGCGCGCGGACACTCACACTAGCAGGGGCTTGCCGGCGACGCGCGGGTCGACCAGCACTGCCGACAGCGTCTCGTGCGCCTCCTGCAGCCGCTCGGCATCGCTTGAGTCGACTGCGAACACCACGCCGTGAGCCTCTGCCAAGTAGTTGTGCCAGATGCCCCGGATGGGCTTCCCTCCGCCCAGGTCGAACACCGTAACGTCAAAGCGGCCGAAGCGCATCTCCGCCTTGGAGAAGCCCACTGTCGGGGTGATGTCCTTGAGGTCCTCTGGATGTGCGAGAATTGACATCTTATGTTTTTGAATCAGGATCGGGAAAATAACAAAAGACAACATTTTTCCAAGTAACCTTTCAGATTACCCATTGGTAATTAATTGGTAAATTAACCAGTCCCTCAATTCAAGAAATGTATCATTACAATTTTTAAGTGCTGCTTGTTGCTGGCTGCTGGGCATTTTCAACCAGTGCTTTGCAATTGTAATAAAAAATAAACTTTCTTTTGAAGTTCACTGAGAAGAGCCACACACATGTGTAGGTGTGTGTAAAGCCCTTTGTCAATCCACTGCTGGATGAGGGCTTCCCCACGCCATGCAGACCGTGGGGATTATTTGAGGATGCTTCACCACGCTCATAAGTGTACATTGGTGAAGGCAGGGGGCATAAATGTGGGTGCAAAAAGTTGCAATGGATTTTGATGCAGTGCCCTGTTGCCCACAACCTATTTTGCACACTGTGGATGTCCATCCAAGCAATATCCAGGCTCACAAGCTGCTTAGCTTCTGAGATCAGGTACATTCTGGGTGATTTAGTCAAATGCAACCTTTCACGTTAACCATTGGTAATTTAACCTTCGCGTTTTAAAGCTCACATTTAGCTCATACACTGTATATATACAGTAACTATATTTATGAGCAAGTGAAAGCCCATGAAGACAAGTCTAATTTGCGAATGAGACATCGTAGCGATGAAAGAGAGGGAACTTTAAATGTGGAAAGACAAAGGGGAACAATATATATAGAAAGTCCTAAATTCAAATAACAATTTCGTTATCAAACCTCTAAAACAGTGTTGATATTTTGAGCATTTCTTTTCGTGGAAAAAAAAACGTTAATGTTTTCTTGGACTCTACATTTTAAAGAAGTAGTAAATTATTAATTCATAAGGCACTCAACTATCCAGCTGTGACAAGGCATGTGGATTATGACAGTTTCTAAAAACATACTGTTCAACCAAGATCCTTCAGGCCAAAACACTTCCTGCTTCTTTCCTTTGCTAAAGTTGGGAATTCCCTCCAATAACCTTGATCAATGCAAGACACGTGTTAACTCTTTATCTGTTACAATTCTAAAGGTGCTGTTTGTTGCTGGTCGCTAGAGGTTTTAGGCTTTGGGACTATGCTCAGTAACGATGTAAATAAAAACAGCGCCCTCTCGTGGACATAGTGCCCATTGTCTCTAAGCACTCTGTGTACTGTTTGTATACTGGTTGTCAATGCCAGCAAAAACGCGGTACACAGCTCACATTAAACCGACTCTCTGTCCATGAGTTGATGCTCAAATTGGAAAATGTATAACTGTGGCTGAATACTCTTAAATTATACCTCCTTGTAGCCCCTTGACAGCAGCGGTTTTTCCAGCATTGTCCAATCCAAGCATGACCAAGGTTACATCCCTGCACAAGAGGTTAGATACCAACAGTTTAGAGCGTTTGCAGCACTATGAAGCACAAACAAAAGCAGCTGAAGCATTATAGGTTAGATGCCAAGGTTGGGAACCGTCTCCTTTCATGATCACCCTTTGGCATGGCAACACATCATTAATGCCTCAGTTACTTCTGCCACTGTTCTGTTCAAGCGTATGGCAATATTCAGGAACTATATCCCAATGTCATGATCTGTTAACCATGAGAGGGCTTCAGCAGAGAGTTCGTGTCGTTTTGTTCTACTCCTCCATTAAAGGAGTGCAGACCACATTGGTTTACTATAAGGTCTATTGTTTGGGTTGCATGGCCACAGCTGCATTGTGGCTTGTCGTTAATGTTCTGATGTGGGTGATGGTATACCAGTGTCTTCGAGGAATATCAGAGCCAAAAGGTATGATGTTTGGATCTTGAACGAGGTGTACATTCTGGCAATAGTCTCAAAGTTATGCCCTGTGCAGCAAGGGCTATGTCATCTGCATATATGAACTTGCGAGACAATGTACATGTATGATTGTTATTGGGATCAAACATCGAAATATATTTTTTTGCACTTTTTGTATGCAGCATGGACGGGTTGTGCTTTTTCTGTAGGATTTTATTGTTTATGTATGTGATATTTAGATTGTGTACAATGAATTTTAGGTGTATCTTGTAATTTTATTGTTTGTTGCGGTTGAACCCAAATCAAGAGCCGAATGGCTCACAGGGTAAATCCTAATAAATGAAACTGAAAACTGAAACTGAGGTCACATATATATGTTAAATAGTTACGATGCTAGTACCAAGCCTTGAGGGAGGGGGCATTTTGATCATTCTCTTAAGGCTGTGTTTACTAGCAAAGTTTACCCTGAAGGTTCAGTTGCTAAGCAGTGTGTCGATTCGGTGTACAGTGGAATTGCATGCAGTGCTTTTGGCCATCTTCAGCAGCAGACCATAACCCCAAATTGTGTCATAGCAGCAGAGGTCAAAATCATTTTTGTCCCAGTTTTCTGTTGATGCTGTGGGTTGTGAAGGCATTGATCAGATTCGCAGCAACTATAAGGGAAAGTCTGGCAACTATGGCATGTACCATCAGTCTATTGGTAAAGTACAAGAAGGATATTGGAATGTAGCTGTAGAGAGAATGGCCATGACTTTGGCTTGCTTTAATGTCTTTGGGGTACTGCCTGTTCTGTGCATGACGGTGAAGAAGTTTGCAAGCCACTGCTGTCTATAAAGTTCCAGATTCTTTAAGAACTCAAGTCACCAGCCATTTATATCCTGGTGCCTTACTAGATTGTCTGGCCCTGTGGGCTGCTTACACTTCAGTGACAGCGTAAGGTCTTGTTATATTGAATGCTTGCGGTAGTTTGCCTAAGGTGATGGCGAGTCGTTTCCGGAGAGCTTGTTTCGTGAACTTGTCCATTGGTGTCTTTGAGCAGGACAACATGTGGTAAGCCACAGTGTTCTTTGTAGTTTTTGGCGGTCTGCGCTCTGTTGGCTTTGAGGTCACCTTGGTTCTCATGGCGCTGCCAAGCTTTACGGCTGGAGTGATTGAAATTCAAATCTGCAGTGACATCTTCCCAATGTTTTCTTCGTGCAGAGTTCTGATGAACTCATTCAATAGTTTTATTTATGATTGCCAACATTACGTGTAGCTTTTCTAATATCCCCGTCTGGATATTGTTTTTGTGGCAGATGCCAATATTTCATGAATTTATAAAAGTTTTTAGGCTTTAGCTGTAGGTTTTTCAAATGGGCTTAAGTTTATTTTTCGTAGCCGGGCCAGTTGGCCTTCCAAAAGTTCCAACACAGCTGTGGTTTGGAGGTTATGACCGGCATCAGTTATCCAGTGTGTCACTGCCGGTCTGTTTTGTCTCTTCAAGAAGCCATTCGAGTGACAGATGTGACTGAACATACTAACCCTAAAACACAATGTTGCCATGTAGAAATTACATCCTTCTATTACCAAAATAGTGCAGCTAAGATGCTTGCAGTGATAAATAAATATAATTTGTGGGCCGTTTCGAAGTAGTAGAATTCCCGTAGCCGCAGGCCTTATGAAATGAAGTTACGGACCAATTTCGAGCGTATGTTATCCGCATCATAATAAGTGGATGAGCCAATACTATACATTTAAATATCTTTCTCAATATACCTCTTCGGCAGACACTAATGAGTGGTAGTGTGCATGGACGTATAGGGGGGCGAACAGTGTACAGGCATCCACAGTTACATGATAGTCAAGCGAGGCAACAGGTACATACAGTGCTGGAGGTATATACAATAGATCCAGCACTGGTGTACATTACCTCATAGGCTTGCGTTTCCACTTAACCCAGCTGCAGCAGTTAGCAAAAACGCTGAACATGTTTCATCCACCCCTGCACACACACACACACAGGCAGGCATGAGTAATTATTAATACACGAGCAATAATTCCTCCGAAACAGCCAATGCAAGCGATACTGTACATAGAGGGTTTCATAAATTATGATACATATTCATTTAAGCATGCCAATCAAGTAATTAACATGGTATTGTTTGCTTAACATAGTTCACAAGTTTAATTTGCTGAGGTTTATTCGTGGTGTGTTAACGATGTTTAACGCTGTTCTGCATTGTTTATGTGGGGTGGAACAACGGCACATTGGGTTTGTGGAACTGCGCTATTAAGCTAGCAACCAGAGTTCGATTCCCGACCATGGCTAACATCACCGGCAAGTGATATCTGAATCAGTCCTAATCTCCAGTCCACCTTCACCAACCTGCACTGACCAGTGTGGTGATGTCAGAATAAATAAGCCCCACAACTAACACAGCATGCTTTCAGAAGAGTTACGTATCACAGGGTAACTCGTCTGATCCGTTACCATAATACCTATGACTATTATCCGATTTGTCATTACAATCTTGAAATGCTGTTTAATATAGGAAAAGAGGTAAGTTCACAATGACAACAATAGCAAAAAAAGCATTTCAAGGCCATTGGTGATGAACAAATCCATTGTTTCAAACAACTGACAGCACAAAAAGTCAGCCAAAACAATGACGAGAAATAAAAAGCCTTGACACACTTATAAACGTGGGGACCTTGTTTCGCATATTACTCAGCTCACGTGTGGACAAAGCAGTTCAGAATCAGAATATGTATTTATAATGTTTCACAAATGTCCAGTTCGCGAGCGATTTGATTGCGTTTTGTCGTAGCCTTCAGTTGCTGGGGAGGAAGTCAGGAGGCGCTGTCTGACGGAAAACTATGCGAAACCAAGCATCTGTTTACTCTGCGAGCAATGAAGTGGGTTCAAGTTCAGGTTCATTATTAGGTATAGCCCTGTGAGCCATTCGGCTCTTGAATCGGAGTGCAACCGCAACAACAAACAACAAACATGAACAAGAAAACATCTTAAAGTGGCTACGTGACCAAGTGTAAACAGAAAATCCAAGAAAAGACAGCAAAATATTGTAGAAAAAGCACCGTACACCAACGCTGTGTGCAAAAATCCCAGTGGGATGCAAGTCAAACAACAACAACAACCACAAGACAACTTAGATTAAGGTCATCGGTCTTACTCCGTACTATAACAAACAAACAAACATGGCCAAACCAAAAAACTTTTCGAAATCACCACAATAAAGCCATGAAAGGGTTCGTTAACAACAGGCGCACAAGCCCTGCGTTGCCAGGGCAGCCACCGATTTACCAACACTTCAAAACGCACGTGACTCTTGGCAGCTTAACACGAGAAATTGTAAATCCGACCGTCACATACTTGTCCTGATCAATTAATCGACCAAACCAGCGCAGCATTTGTACACGGCGTAGCTGTAATTGCCTAACGTGTAATGTATTTTCACATTATACTCGTATACTCAGTCAGATATGCGACGTTTTACCGTGATCCCAACGTCCTATGTATTTAATCAGGATGGAGTCAAGACAGTCCTTCACTGGGATGCTTGAATCGTTCATTTAAATCAGTGTTTTATGTATGAATGTGGTAATTAAGAATACCTGAGTAACCCCACGTATGACACCGCCAAACCAAGACGTGTACTCCCAGTTACGTTGTCTTTAACAGTCGATACGATGCATTTATACAGTACACGGTTAATTAAAAGCCATTAACACAGTCCGTCCCGTTTCTCAAATTTGACCCAAACCTTATATAATTGTTATATTACCATCAGCAATACGCGCGAGATTATTAAATCGCTCCATCTCCTTGGCGGTACAGAATCGCCTTCAGACAACGGCAGCCAGTAAATTAACAACAACAACAACAAAAAGCAAAACCATTGCTCAAGTTTGGGGAGAGAGTGGAGAGGAGCAACGGATTAAGACCGACCCCTGTTGGGAACACCGAAACCTCCCCACCGCGTGAGTGAAGGTGGCCGGGGGGAGGCACCTCAGCCGGGCAAGCTGACTAGGAAACACGTAAGGCTTTCCCGCGCAGCTAGGCCCGTCGCGACGCTCACGCGTAAACATGGCAACCGTGAGGCCGAGAGTCGCGCGAACCCGTCAAGCGTGCGGCAACTTGGCCAAGATGCGCCTCGCCGACTCGACACGAGGAGAGTCGACGAGAGACAAAGAGAGAGCGAGAGGGGAAAGACGAGGTTCGGCGTGGGAAGCTTTACCGTTGCGCCCGGCGGCGGGGCGGCGGCGGAGAGAGTCGCACTGAGCAGGCGGCCTCATCAGCTGCGATGGAGGCGCACGGGCAGCGCGCGCCGACGGGGATATCCCCCCCTTCCCCCCCGCCCCGCGCTTGCCGTGACGTCACGCACAACGGTTCCCGCGCAACTTGGAATTCCCTCCCCCCCCTCCCTCCCCTCCCCTCCCCTCCCCCCTCCCTTCCCTCCCCCAACTCCCTCCCCTCCCTCCACTCCCTCCCCTCCCTCCACTCCCTCCCCTCCCTCCACTCCCTCCCCTCCCTCCCCCTTCCCTCCCCCAACTCCCTCCCCTCCCTCCACTCCCTCCCCTCCCTCCACTCCCTCCCCTCCCTCCCCCTCCCTCCCCTCCCTCTACTCCCTCCCCCTCCATCCCCTCCCTCCCCTCCCCTCCATCCCATCCCTCCCTCCCCTCCCTCGCCCCCTCCCTCCCCTCCCTCGCCCCCTCCCTCCCCTCCCTCGCCCCCTCCCTCCCCTCCCTCCCCTCCCTCTACTCCCTCCCCTCCCTCCACTCCCTCCCCTCCCTCCCCCTCCCTCCCCTCCCTTTACTCCCTCCCCTCCCTTACTCCCCTCCCTCTCCCCCCTCCCTCCCCTCCCTTCCCTCTCTCCCTCCCCTCCCCTCCCTCCCTCCCTCCCTCTCCTCCTCCTCTTCCTCCCCTCCCTCCCCCTCCCTCCCCTCCCTCCCTCCCCTCCCCTCCACCACCGCTTACAACAGCAACAGCGGCGGCAGCAGCTACAACAGTCACAGAGTAACCACAACACGAGACATCCAGCCAGGTAGGCAGGGGGAGGGGGCCGGGGTGCACAGCAAACAGCAACCGGCGGTGGTCAAAGTGGTAGTCGCTGTCAACCCGTACGGTTTTACTCGGTATGCAGGGAAATTTTGTTTTTGGGTTCATACGGCGTACAACCGTTTCGTTGTTTCAATGCGGGCAAATAAAACATCTATTTTGTTTGTGTTTCTCCCTTGTGATGGGACTTTGTAGGATGAACGTTGAGATTTATAAGGGACACGGGGTGGCCAATAATGTCTGAATTGGTCTGTAGTCAGGTAGGGCACTGATAAGGGGTTGACAGGATAATGTCAGAGCAGGCAACTGGCGGTGTTTGATAATGGCAATGAAGGTAATGACATTTATAACGCGCCAGATGTTGCAGACTCACAGGGCGCGGGAGCCAAGCCTCAGGGCTGCTCGAAAGCCTGACCCAAACAGATAGATGAGGCCATTAGGGGCCATCCATAAATGACGTCACGTGATTTTGGACGATTTTTTGACCCCCCCCCCCATCGTCACACGGCGTCACAAAAAGTCAGACCCCCCCCTCAAATATGACGTCACAAAGCTCTGCCCCCTCCCCCCGCAAAAAAAATCATGCTTCAAATCGCTTTGAACTATTGTCATTGTAGTGCGTATTTAATGTGCCGCTGCACTCTGATGTTGTAGGTGAAAACATTTATTAAAAAGTATATTTCATTGAGTAGAACGTGTTGTCTATATTTATTTAAAGTTGCGCATGTGACGTCACATTTCTCACCCCCCCCTCCTCGTCACACATCGTCACAAATGTCTGACCCCCCCTAGGTGCGTGACGTCATTTATGGACGGCCCCTAGCCCTAATAAAGGGGGTTGTTTCGGGGTGAGATCGCGTAAATATTTGTGTGTCGTTAAACCCCCCATCACCCGACATGTGAACAAACCGTGCCAATTAGTTACCATACTCTTTGGTTCTTTCAGTAAAGTCACCTGGGTAAAACTAAAATAAAAATAAGAGAATAATGAAATAATTATCTTTTTTTTTACCTACGTGACTTTACTGAAAGAACCAAAGAGTATGGATCCTTGCAGTCACGAAAACTTCAAATCTAGAATGAATTAGTTTCCACTTCAGCACACCGGTTGTGTGTTGCAATTCGAGTACGACGTTTCGCTGGTGATTACAACAACCAGCTTCATCAGGCGATTAGCCAAAATTGTGAAGAAGCCTTCCTGTTTCCCAGCCGCTACGTCCTCCTGAGCATGTTATTTTTCCCATTTGGCTGCCACTGTTTCGTTCGTCTCGAGCACAGGCCATCAAGATCCATTCTCGCCACGTGTCATGGCCCAAATCAATCAGAATCTTTATTTATATTGGAGGAATCCGATGACCTATAAAGCTCATTTTCACATACGTCAATGACCCACAGCATCTCTCAAGTTTAAGTTCACATTTATTTTGTTTAACCAGGTGAGAAGTCAATAGACCACGTCTACCAGTAAGGGGTGATATGTATAGTCCCTACTGATTCATTTGCGGACGCCCATATACAATGGCCCTGCCACTGAAAGGTGCAGGAACGACCTTGAGCACCTCCGCTGATGTGCTGAGAACTGCTGCCCTCTCGTTCATCTAGTCCAGGGCTCGGCAACTTGCGGCTCCGAAGCGAACGCGGCTCTTTGAGGACTGCCTTGTGACGTTGTTTATAATGGTAGGAACCCACTGGTTCCACCAGCCCACAGGGGATTATTCTGTCCGTCCGTCCGTCGTGCAGGGAGCTGCTGGGTGGGGAGGGGAGGGTGGGGAGGGGCTGGGTGGGGAGGGGCTGGTCACCCCGTGGTGCCCTTATAAAACTCAACGTTTAACCTACTCACGCCGGCTTGTGCCCGCCCTCACAGTCGGCCATATTGGCGGAATACACCACGCCGCCGTTGACCCTGGCCATTGACCGAGCAACCCAACGTTTCTACCAGCTCCCTCCGCAGGAATGTGTTTAAGGACCCACCAATCTCGTATTCGCCACGTGGCATTGCGCCTCTTGAAATATTGAGGTTTTTTTTTTTTACAGAATTAGATTTTTAAAAATGGTTCTTCTTGTTTTTTTTGTTTCGGTCTCCTGGTTTCGTCAGTGTTATGCGGGAGTTCGTACACAAAACTGCTCAATGCATAATTAAATAACGCAATGCACATCATAACCTGAATACTGAAACCGACACCAATCCCCTTGGCTGCCTGTTCTGGCGAATATTCAGCCACAAATATCCACGGAGACATGCAAACTGTAAGGGAATTTACACGTTTTCTTGCCAATGCCAACCTACCCATCAACCAAGACCTCAACAATGTACCTCGCCGCCAGCTCTTGTCCCTATCGCCCCTTCTGGGATCGCGCCAGAAGTCGCAACCGGGTACCCGATACCCGTACCCTACCCGATACCCAGCTACCCGTACCCGGCCGGGTACCCGGCCGGGTACGGGTACCCGTTTGCGACCCTGGTGCGGCTGGGTACAGGTACGGGTAGGCCGTGAGTCACCGGTGAGTAACCGTTTGTCACTCATTTCGGGTAGGGTAGGGTAGCGTACAGGTACCCATATCCGGCCGGGTACGGGTACCCATTTGCGACCCTGGTGCGGCCGGGTACGGGTACGGGTAAGGAATCAAAACCCGTTTGCGACCTCTGGATCGCGCTGTCACCATCCTAGAATCTCACCCAGATCCGGAAGAATGCTGGCGGAGAGAGTGCAACAACGCAGATGTCCCGGATAAATAAAACACATAATTCGAGACCCCAAACAACGCACCTCCTGGCTTTGGCAAACTTCGAAGACACTGGCCTAACCATCAACTGAATCAGAACATTAACAGGTCAATGCTAACATGTCCTTCACAAATTAAATTTAAAGACAGGCAAAAATAATACCATCGTGGCCATGGAACCCAAACTATGGACCACATCGTAAACCACTGAAGTATGGAGGAAAATTTTCGATTTAAAGCTTTCGTGACTGTAGGGATTCATCTTCTTTGGTTCTTTCGGTAAAGTCACGTAGAAGGGAAATAACAAAATAATAAAAATAAAACATAATAAAATAATTCTCACGACGTTTCGGCCACAACGCAAGCAGCCATCCTCAGGTGAAGAACAGGTCTGTCGGGAAGACAGCGTCTGAATTTCAGACCCTGTCTTCCCGACAGACCTGCATCAGACGCTGTCTTCCCGACAGACCTGTTCTTCACCTGAGGACGGCTGCTTGCGTTGTGGCCGAAACGTCGTGAGAATTATTTTATTATGTTTCATTTTTATTATTTTATTATTTCCCTTCTATGGAGGAGAAACAGCGACACTGCGTGAACTCCCTCCTTTGAAGCCCTCTCATGGCTGACGGACCTCGACAATGGAATTTAACTCCTGAACGTATTGACACGCGCAAGAATAGAATGGCCTATTCAAGCGAATGACACCACGGGGCCATTAACGGCGCATGCTCTTGCGGCTATGACAACCGCAATAAGCGGCGAATGTGCTATTGCTCTACCAGGGGTCAGCAATCAAAACAACAAGGGACATTTTTTTTTCGATTTCGAGACGGTGATCCTTCATAAACAATGTCACGAGGCATTTCCTTAAACGAGCTGCAAGTTTTCCGACCCCCTTGCGCTGGGCCATGTCACCGCGTTTTCGTGGTTTTTTTTAAAAATTCAACTGGAAACAATTCCGCTTCATGGTCTGGCCTAAATTCCCTCCGTGAGGATTCACGGCGGAGCGAAATACATTGCAAAGTACGCCTGTCTCTCGGTCCTGCGATACAACAATCTGCGCAGCTACTGCACACACGCGGTATCTTATATAGTACGTTCAGTGCGATTCAATGTTACCATAATTATACGTATTTAAGGGGCCGTCCATAAATGACGTCACGCACCTAGGTGGGGGGGGTCAGACATTTGTGACGATGTGTGACGAGGGGGGGGGGCGGTTTGAGAAATGTGACGTCACATCAAAATGCGCAACTTTAAATAAATATAGACAACACGTTCTACTTAATTAAATATACTTTTTAAACCCAGAGAAAACCCCTCAAACGCAAGGGCGAAACACTCTATCCCATACCGACTGAACAGATGGAGCCCACATTTTTAAATCCTTTATATTAAGTTCGCTTGCTTGTTTGCTTGCGTGCTTGCGTGCTTGCTTGCTTGCTTACGACCGTGCAAATCTTTCGGTCGTTTTTTAACTCACTTCCCGTGATCCAATCGAGCTGACATTTTGCACACAGACTCGTTGTGCGTGACAATGCATTTTCGTGAACATTTTTTT